CTGTGTAGTCTGCTACGATAGCCTTGCCTGTGAATGACACACCTAAGAAACTCTTCTTCGCCAGCCGCGCTGCTGCCGCCTGTCTCCACGATGCGCTTGACCAACAATCTTCGTAACGTCGAAACCAACTGCAAGTAGCAATAGTAATGAGTAGAGTTGCAGTAGAACCGAGATGTCTTCAACTGCATTAATGCTTCATAGCAGCCAATACAGCTGCAGGCATGTGCGGAAAGCAACAACAAGCGGTATCACATAGGTCTTTGCCTGTGAGTCTGCTGGTGATATCAAGTGATCCAAGATAGCATCGAAACATTTCATCAAGCCCACTCGAGAGTCCAATAACGATGATAGCAGAAAGAGATCTGATACTGTCAAAATGAGATCGCCATCACTGGAAGCTTGAGCCTACAGTCAAGACACATCAACATGTCCAGCTCCCAAACCCTCTGACCACATCATATTCTAACTGAAACAGATCTGGCTGCACTTAGCCAAGTGATTGAGCAACTCGCATCAACGCTTCTCGTACCCAGTTCCATCGCAACCTGGTCATGATGCTTGAACGGCCACAATACGTAGATCATCATAAGGTTCTGACTTGGCAACTAACTGCGTTTACAATCGAGAGTCACACGAGATACGACTGCGTCTCATTTGTTCTCCCGTACTCTTCCATTTCTGTCGTCGACACTCGCTCCACTGACAGTCGTGGCTATGGTTCTTCGCAGGTCACGACGTTGCTCTCCTGAGTCTCTTTTATCGCGCACAGGACATTATCACAAGTCGCGCCTTGTTGCTCAAAGGCAGCTTGGTCTCATCGCAGCACAGATCACGACATCGAAGAACCGTCTCTCTTTCTCCTATTTCACCAAGTCCTCCTCCCCCGGGGACAAGCTGCTAGCCTTTCAGTCCTTATCAGATTTCTTCTCCATCGATTACTCGCATCCACGCATAAATATTTACAATAAACCTGCAGTCTTAATATCGACTCTTAGCCACGCCATCCAGTTCTCTGTTGCCGTCAGTAAAATTCCAGCCAACCTTTCTGCCTTAAAACATGTTCCGCCTCGCCTTACCTCTTGCAATGTCGATACCAACACCGATTGTTCTTGTTCGCCAGCCCAATCGAAACATCAGCTGCTGGTATGCCAACTTTCAATGTAGCATTCGATATCACCAAAAAGAATACTTCAAGATTTCACCTATGCCCAAAAATGCAAAGCGCCTGAGGTAGCCGAAACCGCCGCATGCTACTCCTCCATTACGTCTGTCATTTTCCCCTCCAAACGAGACACAGAGCGCATCGATATTCTCGAAAAATAACCTCCGAGTCTTCTGACTCCATTGACAAAAGCACCGAAGACTTGATCCATAACCTAGCTGCATTCCCCGCCGCCGCAGCGACTTTGATGTCCGTGGACATATTGATGAAATCGACATCATCCCTGCAGACAACTCTCTTAGTAACCGCATCTCGACGAACCCTTCAACGAACTCTTGACTCCTTTCTCCGGAAGAAACCTGTGGCTTGTCCTCACCCACTTCAGTCTCTTCACACTGCGATAAGGAAAGGAGACCAACGCCACCGACGAAGCCACTGCGACCACCGCCGACGAAAGCAAGTGCTGCTATACCAGAACGAGGTCCCGACGTTGAAGAAACCTTGGCTATCCCCATTCTCCTTCTACGAAGGCGTAGGCTGTACGAGTGAACGTGACACCTTTGTATGGCGAATTTCCCTCTTTGAAGACATAGCCTGGGACGGATACAGATTTCCATCAGGCAAAAGTCCCTTCGGGAAAGTGAAGAGGTTATTTTGGAAGACCTGACGATAGTTTGGTAAGGACATTGATTGAGGGAGGAGGAGACTGGGAAGAGGCTGGGGCACGAATGAAGGCCGGCTTCATGAATGCCGGTTAGTTCATCTGGCTTGCAAAGATCCGGTCATCCTGCAAGCCAGCGGATCAAGCCCCAATTTCCCTCCTTGACAGACCCTACCAAGGTCGCTGGGGGATCTTAACATACTGACCCTTCTGGAACCAAATACACCATTGGACGCCCCTGGGTTCAAAGTGCTGGAATTACAGCAGCCCTGTCTTGGAGTAGCTGTCGTCACGGCATTTATCGGCACCATATGGCTGTCTTGCCTTTTGCGAGGCACTCTACACACAACATGTCTTCTTCCGTGAGGTGTTACGGATACCAGCCCTTCATTTGCTGCTCTTGATGTTTTGCACATGAAACCGCCCACAAGACATGTGCCCCGTGACTGCAGCTCAGAATGTCATCTCGGAGTAGGTGAATCAGCTGAGCTTCGTAGTATTGCCGCTAATTCAGAATAGTGTATGATAATTCGCGTTATAGCCTTGCGCTTACGGCGTTGAGGGAACCTCGCTGTTCTCTGCTAAGCTGATTTATCCCCAAAACGTAGCTATTCGCTTCTCAAACACTTACAACCGCTCGTATACCATGAAGGCACGCCTCTCAAGCGACAGCGACCCCCTTATCATGCTTGATCTTTTTTGCTACTGTATCTCCCGCGATGTTAACGACTCCTCCGCCTTCAACCTTTTCGGACCAGAACACCGTATGCCGTGGAAAAACATTCCCTGGCGGGTTTTCGAAGAGGGTCTTGGCTTTCAACCTAGGCTTATGAAGCCTAGAGGCCATAATGATCTCGAGCTGTGGCGACTGACCCTGATATCCTTAGAGAAACTTTGACCAAAGAAGCGTCACCTTGCCGCTGATGTTGAAACGCACCCTCACATCAATACAGCCAATCGATTGAGAGAAGGAGATGATATTGTCGCTCACCCAGCAGAAGGCCGCTTCTCCAGATATGCACGTTGTGAGGAGCACGCTTGGAGAGCGCAAACATCATCTATCTGAGGAACACCAGCCGCAATACTAAGTGAGGCCAGGTTTTGGAGGAGGCCCAACTTGAAGGCGATCATTTCCACGGGAGAGAATCAAGAGCTTCAGATGACGGTTAACCTCGCTTGTCAAGGACAGAACATTATCTACGGTTATAGGGACTCCAATTGTACATGTCAAGTCAACATTGGGAATATTCCTACAGTTGAGCTTGGGTCAAGTCGCAGCATCTCGCTATCATAAGATGTGATCAGCTAGGCATTCTACAGAGGAAAGAAGTCAGCATAATTCGCAGGGGACACGTTTCTACCGCCTTTTCGAATGTCTCAATCTCGCAACTCGATGCCTCATCAAGAAAACCCAACAACACCCAGTCGAGCTTTGGGTGAGTCGCTGTTCCAACATGACCTACACAGGAACTAATACACTGCATGCGTTACTAATAGGGCTTATGATATATCTGTCAGTACATCGGTTACTTTGATTGAGAAGTGGTGTCGCTGTATATGAGATAGGAGGAGCTGAGTTACTGCAGACAGAGTAAGATGGAAAGAGGTTTCCAAGGACAAGGTGCGTCAACAGTTTATGTTTCTTACACAACAGGTTCTGCATCTCATATTGGCTCTCGCTCTCGCGAGTGGCAATGGAAAGACCCTTCCTTGTTTGGCCAGAACCACTGCAACCACGCAAACTGGCTCGGATTTACTCGACAACAAGCTCCCGCCACTCAGAGAACAACGATGAGCGTGTTCCTTGAGAGCACCATCACCTGGAAGAGTATATATTCCACGTGCAGCATGCGCTCTTCTCGATAACACGACTCCTAGTTCATAGCATTGAACGCCGTCTACTTCAACGACTGATCGTGGCTTGGACATTCCTCTCCTATTTCGCCTTTTGTAAATCATTTAGAATCCACCAAGGCCTCTTTATCTATGAACCTCGATAACCCTGAGGTCAATCATTATAGATCATTGGATCGAAACGTGGGTCTGTCTGCACATTGATTTTCCCACATGATGCTTCGACAATCGCATTTCGTAGCACCATTCCCTGCGTCTCTCAAGATAGCGCCCGAGAAAATACCTATATAGATAGGCTGACCAATGTTTCAGTCTCAGTCGCGACCCACATGATCGACGAGGAATACTGCCGCCGCCGTGCCTTAACAACTCCAGCCGGGCTGCGCAACATGTACTTGCAACTCACTGAGCGGTACTGACATATTTTGCGCTCTATAATCACTGGGCACAAAGAGATGAACAGAGTCAAGACGGGCTATCGACGAACGGGATACCATTCTGTTGACTGAGATGTACAAGGCACGCGGTAACTCAGCCAGTGTCTCGCAAATTGGTGAACTGTTTGACATGGCACTAGAGCGTGACCAATCGTATCCTCTTCCGCGACACTAAAATACATAAAGTCAAGACGGCGCTACGATGGAGAGCCAATCAACAGAGATGTGAGAGACCAAAGAGGCAATAGTCCTCAGTAGTACCAGGGTTTGATGGATAGCAGACAGGGGCCATGTTGAGACTAGGGCTCGTTGATGGAGATGAACTTTATACTTGAACTATTCGCAGCTGGAAGAGTCTGGAAGAACAGATGTATCGCTTCAAGTTCACTATCAAGCTTCCGCTCAGCACCCAGGGCCCGGCAGTTTTTGAGCCTCATCTACCAATACGAAATGTGCTGAAATGAAGAGACAAAGGTGACTATTGACGTTAGCACTTCTTGAGTGACTGTGGTGCGTAAATCTGTTAAGGAAACAATGTCAAAAACAAGGAAAGTGGCTCTTGTATGTTAAACGCGATCTTGATGAACACGCCTCAGATGCAGGGATGCAATTCCAGCGTTGAGAGGTTCTATTAGAGGTGCAGCTTCTTTGCTTCAGTGCGTTACAGGGCACCTTCACTATAATTTAGCGATGTCATCCAAATGGTGTGAGTGGAGCCAGCTGACCAAAGCAGCCAATCACTTCAAATTCTCACCCTCCTTCATCACCAACGACCTCTTCCTCCTCTAGCTCCTCAATCAGAGGCCGCGAGCAGCACAAACGTCCTGTACATCCCTCCATCACCCGCCGTTCGATTTCCGCTACTAGCTTATCGACCTTCAACGTCATGCTCGTTATTACTTCAAGCCCATGCATCTCGACGCAACAAGATCCTCCCAGACGTACCCGCACGACGCGAAACCTTGCTCCCGAAGCCACCGCTACCGGCGCTGAGCACGCCAAGGGCGCCGTCAACAAGCGCACCACTCGCAGCCAGTCATAAGGGAAACGACAAGATGCTCTCAGATGATCAGCTGTATCGGATGGAGTGATATTCAAAGCGGACGGAGAACCTGTGACTCCAGCATCCCGAGCCTGAAATGCATCCTCTGACTATCCTCCTCTGTGGTCCATCTGGCGTCTTCAGCCTCGCATCTTTGACACCACTTCAAGCGGACCTTTCAACAGAACGCGCCTTCTTCGACTTCATCGAACCTCCTTATCCGAATGCTCCTCTTCAGTCCACTGCTGCAATTGTACCGCACTACAGATCAGCACCGAAGGCCTCTTCACCCATTCGCGAGCCCCTACGACGCCCAAGGTGCGAACACCAACAACGTCGGTTTTACGAGTTCATAGTTGGGCTCAGCCGTATATGAAATGGACTGGAATAGGCTGCATCCCAAGACCTGAGGGGATGGCATTGTGTTTATCAACATCAGCTCCTGCAAGGGCTTCTTCAATTCCGTCACCATCTCTACACCGCACAAGGGAACACCGCGACTCTTTGCCTCATGGCATTCCCTCTAGCGTCATTCAGGTTGGCCGCCTTGACAACCTTAGTGACTGATGATCACTAATGCAACGCATGACAGCACAGAATTGTCGCCCGGTTCCCAGTCATGTCCCGAAAGCATTCTCGCCAGCCTCGACCGCGATTGACTTGTCACGTTTCAATCGCCCACCACCCATCAAGTTCCCCAGGGCCGCGACCAGCTGTTCCATCTTAATGACTCCGATCTTTACAGCAGGCGTGTCTCTCTGCGAACCCCGGTTTGGGAGGCGGCGCTGAAGGCCCTGCCCACACCCCACCAGTGCTTTGCAAATCGGCTGGAGAAGGATGTCCGTCAGATAAACCTCTCATTCTGTCAAAGATCACAAGTTTGGACGCCAACATAAGCCAAGAACGACCAAGGTGACGACAGCCCGGGCGAAAGCTGAGCAATCTGTCACCTGAGTCAACATTGGAAGACTGCAGAAGAGGTGCACGACACCGTAGTGCGACGGCCAGATCGAGAAACCCGAGACCAAGCGACCACGGCTTTTCCCATGTTCGAATTGGATGGATCGAATTGGCTTGGTGCAAGCAGAGCAACCCTTCACAGCGCATCCCCGCGCTTCAGCATTTTGCAAAGCACTCTGTGTCAGCCAGAATGCGCCGCAACGCCAAACAGAGTCGAATAAGACACTCCGAAGACCAGGGGGGAAAATAGCAATGACCTACAGCAATTGACCTGTTGGTAACGCAACTCCGTGCATTCAGTTGTCGTCGAGCTAGTAGAGTCCACGCGCTAATAAAGATCGTCACAGAACCTCTATCACCATTGCCCTCGATCCAAACCCGAATGGCCAAGGTATCGCAAGAGACCATCGCTAACTCGCCATCGCCTACAATTATTTTGGTTCGACTTCTTGGACGTGCGCCCAACGCCCCCTGGATATGGGCAGTCTTCTTGATGAAGCACACCGCCATTGGGCCGGCTCCCAAGTGCGGTCCAGCTCAAGTGCTCTTTTTGGCAGGCTTGTGATTTGTGGCTGCGGCTCTGAAGGCAGGCGAGTACGATCTCAAGAATATTCCCTAACGAAAACCTCGCGGGTACGACATCAGCGACACCGAGTTACCTCCCTTTACCCTTGACTTCTGATGAAGAGATTGCTTGTGGCACTATCTCATTACCAACCCTACAAAACCTTCTCAACCGGCTTTGACGACGTTGCTCAAGAAAGACGACAACGAGCGGACTGTATTACGCCCGAAACACCAAAGCATTTGACATAACGTCTCGCCATCATAAAGAGCGATCTGATCCTCGACATCAAGTTTTGAGGCTCAGTCTACCTTGAGCTGAGTGACATGGCCCGGGTTGTGTATATCCCAACACGACACCACCGTCCACCTAAGAGTAGGAGTCGCCGACTGAATCGCCGTTCTTTTCGACATTCTTCACGATTTCATCCTCCTGAATGACGAGACAAATGCGGCCGTGTCGTTCTTTATGGCAAGCTTGACCAACTCGGCCACTACCGGGTACAGCGATGTGATCTCCTGGGGCAATGCAGCGACTCGTCACCGCAGAGCGTCGAGGAGGTGGACCTGGCCCTCTCGAAACCGTTCTTGATCTTCAGCTTTGTAGGAGAGGGGATAATGGGTGCCCCCTCACCCCAATCATCTGGTTGACCTTCCTGCAGTGGTTGGACAGGACCATGATCGTGGTGGGTGTCATGATGAGCCTCCGGACGCTCAAGAAATCATCTGCGACGAGCTCACCAATTACGCAACCACAAGAGCAAGCGCAGAAGCCTCTGTGAAGTAGTGTCGAGGGATCCTGGGCACTTCAAAGCATCACCATGAGGGCAGCCCCATGTCCTGCCGGGGGTCACGAGATCACCTACAAGCCTACCAAATACGCCACCACGAGAGCCAGCGCGTAAGTCTCTATACAAAACGTTCCCATGAATTACCGAGCCACCAACGTTCGAGCGCCACGACAAAGCGCATTATCGTGTACCCTCTCCGTCTTTCGTTTCATTGCCAGAGTTCATAGGCTTTGACTCACTGGACTTTCTACGGAACCCGCACAATGGCGCCCGCCTTCAGACACGGGACCCTGTTGAGGATCAGCGAGGGGACACAGGCGCGACGTTGGTGGTGTGCGAGCACAAGTCCATACCTACCGGCGAGGACAGATCGAAGAAGTACAGCGCTGAGATGCTAGGCATGTCGAGGATGTGGCCGTTCGTAAAAGAGCTGAAGTTTGCGACGCCCGGCCAGCGTCCACTCGTGCAAAGCGGCTTTGTATACGTGACGAACGGCCGATTGACGCTTACAAGGGCATCGCGATGATGGATGCCGTATACCACACCATAGAAGCCAGCTACTCAAAGACGCTTTGCAAGCCCATCGGGGCGGTAGCAAAGCTCTACACCACCACGAATTCGATCGAGAACGACGTGCCCACCTCGACCGATGTGGCCGCTGAGACCGACGGCGGGTACAACATGGAGCAGAGGATGCCCTTTCCTCCGTGCAACTTCGTCGACCCCTACACCACACAATACCAGTGGGCCGGATTCAAGACCCTCGCAACGATGGTTGCGTTGAGAACCTGCATGAAGGCTATGGAAATGACGAAGGATATCGTGGACTCGGCAAGCGAGGTTGAGGCGTCGTCAGGGAACTGGATCCTAAGAATCATGGAGTGTACGATCATGGTCGCCGAGTTGTACATCAGGAGGATAGTCCAGACCTGGAGGAAGATGCGCGACCTGGAGATTCCCATCCGCTGACTGTATCTACATTCCAGATTAGTTTCCCCCGCCCGTTAATTTTTACAGCCTCACTGGCCGCTCCTCTGCCAGCATTTGCTCATTTTCGGGGCTTATGAGTGTATTTCTTCGAAGTCTCTTTTCATCAATGCAGCAGAAGCTTTTCAAATTTGTTATTTGGTCCTTGGACTCAGTGATACTGTTAGCTCCGGAGAAGGAAATGTCGAAAACGCAGCAGCTAACATGGCGAGCGGTCATCTTAAACAATCGGCATATAAGCGACGAGCGTTTGGACCGCTGATCCCCCGGGTTCTTTTGATACAGTAACAGTATCTATCAAAGCGAGCAATGCAATGCCAAACATGACTACAGACAGAGCCCCTGGATTTAGCCAGGATGATCACCAATCTCTTGCTTAAGAAGAGACGCAGCCGTTCTTAGATTGTCATGCACTTGAACAAACATGCTACGCAGGGCGGTGTCGAAAGCTTCTTCTCTGAAGCTTGCTGCAAGCGTTCGTTTCAATTCGGGTGTAAAGCCGTTCGCCATCAGCGAGGTCTGATTAGAACCGCTGAACTACTTCGCCGCAGGCGGTTTGACGAGCGCGGTGAATACATTGGCTGTTGATGTTCCAGGTCAGAAGTGTTTCATCATGCTTCAATTACTAAGATCCCTGCGAGTGAACCTGACTTGGGCGAAGTAAATTCCAGTTCTTCAATGTTTTGAATCCACGACCTTCCGCTTCTTTCAGCCTCCGCGTTCACGCAAGAACATGCGGAGTCTCTTCCTATTGCTCAGAAGCCCTACCATAGTCAATATCGTGCTGGGCGAGTGTTGTGCTGTATAACACTCCCTCTCCAAATTGCGATTCTCTATAGCCAGTTCAAGCTACGCAAGCCATTCTGTCTTGTTGGGTATCGCCTACAGCGCGGCCGCTCTACCAGAAAGCCATTCTGGCGATACCTCTTCCCGCCCTTGCCTGTGTTTCGACTCACCGTTACTTCGAGTGGTATGAATGGCAGCTTGCAATGGTTTCTGCACGCTGAAGCACATGATACAGGCGGCGGTTGGTCATAGAAGGCCTAAGATGTTCCTCTGGAGCGACGGTATTGTGAGAGGGAAGCAGGATTTAGCGCCACGGTGACCGCAGCCTTGATCCCATTCGATGCCTCGCCATGACACTGCAGATTATCTCTATTCCACCGGAATAACATAGCGCGGAGACAGCGACGAAAAGCCTCGGGGCGGTATTGTCTCTTCTGAGTTTGAGGTCGAATTGTTCAGAGCTAGTGTTCCTTGGCCGGAGAAGCTCGCCGCTCTGTCAAAGTGCGAGAAGGAGTTGCAATACTGAGGGTGTGCTAACTGGGATCTGGCCTAGATCTTGAGATATCCCCTCAGTGGCAACGCGGTCATGTCTCTTGTCTGTGCTTCTTCTACACGCTCTCCGTCACAGCGCAGCCCGCGAAAGTCTACCTCTTCCGACAGCCTTCTCGGGCAACAGAAGCAAGACCAACAACCTTGCGAGATCTGGGTTGATATGTTTCCGATCTGTTGCTGACGCAGTATACCCTTCAGTAAGGGCAACTGCCATAGATTGACAGAGACATTCGCAAATCTCATCTTACCTGTCGCCAGCTGACATTGGCACCCCGCAAGAGAAGAGTATCCGAGCGACCGATATGAAGGAAGCTTGAGCATATGCGGATAGGCCAAGAGAGCCTTTGAGGAAGTGAATGTGGCAGCTGATGCAATTCGCAAACTGCTACAGTGGTCGCCACGCAGATTCTGTTCCTGGGCCAGCACAGGGTCAAGGTTTCTGTGTACTCGAACTGATGCCTTGGTACAGAGATACGAGTGTGATATATACCAAGGCTTGGTATCAATGAGATTGTCCCAAGTTATCTGCTTCGATTGAAGACTGGGGTCAAGTGGCTGTTTTCCCTCCCTCGCAACCCGATCCCATACCTCGACAAGGAGGTTTCCCTCGCGATACAACTTCTGAAGACTACGAAGGCCATGAATCAGCGCCGACAACTGGGTCCTTCTCGCATTCCCTTTGGCATCAAACATTACGCAGCAGGGTCCGGACATCGCAGTGGGTGTAGCTCACACCGCGGCAAGTAACATCGTTACAATTGCTGCAACAATGCAGACGATATGAGGTAGTCAAGGGATGGCATGTGCCCTGCGTGATTACGAGTGCAGTCTCTTGGTGGATGGTCCTATATTGGGTGCGAGACCCAGTGTAGTACAGTCACAAAGTTGCTCTCAAGCAATCCCTGAATCATCGACTTCTGAAGGCCTTGGTCAGATTGTGCCTCGGATGTGAATAGTATAGATGATGATGGAGGGCGATGAAAGGAAGCTTGTGAATTGATCATGTTTCTTTGTTTGACTGCTGTTTGTTTGTGCCTTAAGCAGGAAGAGTGAATGCTGAAGTGAATCGGAGTGATCAACCAGCTGTCTTTTCATCTGTACGGCTACTTTATTTATATAGTCCTACATACTCCCTCTTTCTGTACTACTTTATATACTACTTACCTAGAGAATAAGATATCTCCAACTGCCAGAGAGCATCCCTCACGTATCATCTTCTTCCCACACTTGTCGCCGACCGTTTCCCCTATCTTCACTCTTCTATGACCTCGACCTTTACATCATCGTCCCTGCAACCACCGAACCAACCTCAAATTAGATATTCGTGAAAGCGATTACCTTGCAGGGTCACAAGAAGTCTATACAGCAACTGGGACCTATCGAGAAGCCGATGGTCAAGCCAGTGGGGGTCATGGTTACAGCCGAGGGCTATCCTTGAGGCTGTTGAGTGCGAGATGGAACACCTAGTCTGTGTAGATACCTCTGGACATGCCTTGGGGGGCGGAAATGCCCCCCACAGAGAGCAACGTGCCGTGTTGCGACTCGGCGGCAGTTCTGAATAGCATAAGAAGCGGGGAGCTCGGCGCTGTTCCGGAAAACGTGTCCTGAACTGGGAGATCAGACTCGGAAAATCTGGGGTATATGTTGACTTGATGCTCATACTGAATGGCGATGGCCGCACTTCTCGAACAGCGCCGGGCTTGGGTTTGGCACCAGAACCCGTCTCGCTCTTGGTCGAGTGTGACAGCTGAGAAGGCTATTCTGTCTCAGAGCCCATCCGCAGCATGCGAGAGGCACCTGGCGCTGAATTGCATGATGATATTTTTACAGTTGTCGCTTCTCACAGCCGCCGATACCAAAGTTGCTGTAATTTATTGAAGCGAGATCCACGCTACATTTGACCACTTCTTTATATGTCAAGTGTCATCAGACTTGCCGCCACGATGGGACCGGAAACTCGACGCACCAACATCAAGCAGTTGAGCGAGACTATAAATTTGATGGAGCTGAAGCCCTGGCAACAATTGATATGCAGAGATGCATCCCGTGCGGAGGAATCCCTCGAGTTCATCACTACCAAGGCCAAGAAACGCAACCGCAGTGACAACAAACTCTTCGGAATGAACAAGTTACATTTTCATTGCGATCAGGCGGTTTATCAAGCTAGTTCACAAGAAGGAACGCGCGCTCTTGATAAAAAGATCGGCATGGTTACAGAGAACAGGTTCTCTCCCAAGCCGTGGCAGAGACAACGAAGCAGTCGCCAGCGTGAAGATAACGCCGGATGGAAGGTTATGTAGAAGCTCTTACCGCGCTGAACATATTGCAAGACTTCTCAGTATATTGAACTCTTGATCGTAGTGGATGATGATCGTAGTAGATCAGCGACCAAAGGACGGTAGAGCTGACATGGGCGCAGATATAACTCAGATGCTACAGAGAGAGAGCGGAAAGGGCCAAATAGGGCGGGAGATAAAGGCGATGAGAACGAATAGCCTGAAATATCGAGAGGAAGGTCGGACGTGGTTCCGGTTGAGTCTTCGGTTGTCGACGAACTTCGATCTGCATCCAGAGGAAGAACACTAACTTGAGAGGCATGAAGCAGACCTCAAACGGGAGCAAAGCAATCTGTGTAGACTTAATCTCAATAATCTCAATGCATGATCTAACCGATCGATGACATTCTGCCTCTGTAAATTTTCAATTCGTCAGTCAAGAAGTCATGATCGTGATCACATTCCAAATACAGAGTTGGTGAAGGACACCTTCTTTCGGTGGTGAACCCTCTGTGTACGTGTATGGCTTTTCGGCAGGAGGATACCATTGCTCATCTCTATCACTGATATTATTTCTCCGTATTTTGAGCGCTTATATGTTGTCTGTTGTACGTTGGGGGCTCTTCCAAAGCGCAGTCGCTTCGTTCGTCAGAGGAGAAGTGTTGACCTACCAGGGCAACGGCCGAGGCTACCGCTCACCTCTACTATGCAGCATATCATCCGAGACGTGATTATCGTTAGAAATTTCGGGTCGCTGAACATCAGTCCACGGCTGGTGCTCGGGCTCGGCGATGGGTGAAGGGGATAACATGCTGTTGTTGAAGATCTTCATGCACATGCAAAGTAACCAAAGACTTCCGTGTTCAAATGGTAAGGACTCCCAACACCCCAAGACACCCATATCAAGAAACAAGCAGCCAAATAATAAGAGTATGTAAAAGCACAAAAGAAAGAGATAATAGAGAAAGGATGTAAGATAAAAGAAAAGAAAAGGGATGACCATCCCTACCCCTCACTATCATCATTCTGATCCTCACCAACATCACCCTCCTCAGCATCTTCATCATCAACCTCATCCTCCCAACCATCCTCATCCTCCCCATCTTTAGCACCCCGCAGGCCGTTAATCTGGGCCTGCATAGCTTTAACCTGCCCCTCAAGCTTCTCCCTCAAGCACTTCTCCTCCTCCAGAGCCTCCTTGAGAGCTTTATTCTCAGCCCTCTCCTCTCTCATGTGGCGCTCCACCTCTGCGGCCACCCTCTTCACTTGCAGAGAGGCCGCCCTTGCTCGTTGCCAGGCGTTGAACGTCTGGAGGCTTGATAGCACACCGCTGAGACCGGTGCGCCACTCTTCTGGGTTCTAGGTCAGGTTAGATATGGTGCAAAGAGAGGGGACAGGTTTTAACATACCACTGCAAGACCCAGTCGATGGCGGTGCGCCATCTCATGGACTCTCTGGACGTCTGTGCGAGATTCCTCAAGCATATCCTGCATATATCAGCAAAGTCATTCTGTTTATAGGTATATACTTACGTCTGAGCATTCGACCCCATCAGCCTCACAACTAAGACAAGGCCTCTCTGCAATAATTAGTATAAGCTATAAGTGTCGATAAAGCTAAGACTTACTGCCAGACTCGGCCATCTCGCAAACCCACGATGGGTTAGTCCTCCACTTCTCGATACACTCTCGACAAGCAACCGCATGGCACTGGGGCGCAGGGCTACGAGTAGTGAGATCAGGGCTCGCTTCACCTGCCGGCTCATCATCGAATGTAGACTCTACCAGGAGCTCAATGCTCTTGAGCCGTTTGGTCGCAGGCGTGAAGTCCTGTGTTGCAGCACGCTTGGTGCGGATCAGGCGTCTGACAGGCGTGACAGCCTGCGATTCCATCGCCTCTTCATCCACAGAACCATCCGAGTCTTCAATCACCACAGGACTTTTGGCCTTGAGAGGCGTTTTGCTGGCCCTCGCGGTCTTGGGCTCGGCGAGCTTGTCGACCTTGGGCCTGGGCCGAGGAGCCTTGGGTTTGGGCTTGGAAGCATCCGTCTGGAAAAAACACTAGACTGGTTAGTCAAGCAATTGGAAGTCAGAGGGATGGCTTACGCTGAACTTGTCGGAGGGTGTAGCTGCGGTCTTCCTGCTGTCATTCATGATGATAGCCTAGATTCCGAATTCTGTGTAAATATTAAGGATCGTAAGTAAGATGAGAAGAACTGTTCGTTAACGGTGAATGAGATGCGAAAAATAGAATGGAGAATCACGACAAGTGGTAGGCATAAGTAAGTAAATGAACATCAATTGAGACTCAAGCGCAAGATAATTCTGACAAGACCTCAACTAGCCTTGTCGTCTCTGCTCCCCTGGCTCAATTGCTTTTTCCCTCCTCTTCTAGGCAGCATGCATGCTCTGTCCGTCTCTCCGCCATAACACGACTGCATTATCAACATGTTTGGATCACTTCGGCTCGAAAGTTCAACGGATGTGAACGAACATGCACTCAAAGTTGCAAAAGTTGCGTGTCCTCTGTTTGAGCGGGAGGATCCGAGACGTTCAATCCGTTTTCGACGTTAACGGGCGGGACAGAGAGCTTAGTTGGTGTGTACAGTGTTATTCGGGGGGAGGGGTGAGATCGGCCATGCAAGCGCGCGTTTGTGAACGGGTACTTGCGCTGGGGAGTGAGATACAAGAATACAATGCGTACAGGTTGGGCTGAGACATGAGGGAGTCAGCACTTGGTTAATTTCGCTGCAGTGTGATAGCCCGTTTTGATCAAGGTACAGTACCCTGGTCGACGTGGTAGACACGGGAGGAGATTGGCAGCTCCGAATACCCGGTTTGTCGCTGTGTTTCTGTGAGTCTTGGCTGATTTGCTTTTGGGGGTCGCTGTTGGATTGTTGCGCTATATGTTGCACTTCGATGAGGCACTGTGTGAGGACAGAGTCACGAAATGCAGGTACTGAACCTCATGCCTAGCTACCTGCGGAAAGAATGAATCTTTGATAGTGACTGATTAATCCACAAAGCTGTCTTGGGTAGATCAAGTGAGCACTTCCAGATCGAGTGTTGTGTAAGTCAAATGCTGTGCAGAATAAGCAAGCATGAGAAATGGATCATTTGACAATCATGTGAACTACTTGGGAATAACCATGTAGTAAGTTCTCTGTGCTCATTCAAGCTCTCAGCTACAAGTCTCAATTGTAAATAACACATCTACGACTGCGTAGTCATAGCGACGCTGGATCTCTGACTGTGTTTCATGTTCTTGGGAGATGTCTGCCTCCAAGTCCACTCTCCATCACAAATGTTTACAGGTTCAAGTTCAGTAACGAAAAAAGAAATCCTGAAATCACGTGAAATACAGTCACGACTGTATAAGATACGTATCGTGCCAGCCAAATTGAGGAATTGACAAAAGACGGCTGGGCGTTACACAACCAAAAGCAACGGCCAACATATAATGAGACATCGGTCATGAAAAGCAGTGGTAGAACTAATGTATCTTTCCGCGCAGGCAGGATGCCGCCCCAACGAAACGCAACGCGATTTCAGGTTCTGATGTACCATGCGAATTATCGCAAACGAAGATGTGAGGTGTTGGTAGTCCTCCGTTCAGCCACATGCAGGGGACACGGTGATCACTATTGAGGCTCTGGATTTTGCACGATCTTGTAGTATCTACAGCTACAAGAACATCATCTTCAATATAATTATTAAGTCTCCTGCCTTTAGCCTTCAAAACGATATACATCACACCATATTCGGTTCTCAAGGTGCCAGCATAACTTTACGCAAAGCAGCACCATCACATCAGAGGTAGCCAAGATGAATGGCACTGTAGATACTTGGCCAACCACTCAGCAATCTCATAATCCCCCACATGGCTGAAACAAGGCGGCAGCAGACCTTCACGCTCGAATGAGAAAACAAGACTAGCCTCTAGACCTGGTCGAGGATGCAAGTACCTACCCGTTGATGAGGGCGTTTCTGAATGCCGTTCTACGGAGCTCCGATGCTCGGATTTTCTTGAGTTTTTATTTATTTTTCCATGTTCAAAGACGGAATGATGAAGTAGGCGATGGTTGACGACTTTGTGTACTTACGCTTTATACTCCGTTGGCAAAAGAGGAACGCATCAATCTTTTACATCGATCTTCTGTCTTTCACCCTCACGTCTACTCACATCACTCTTCATATCGCGTTTTACATCTATACTTTATGTCCATTCCACACCCATCCTTTCTAATAGAACATAATGGCTCCTAAGGTATGCTATCTACGCTCCAACATTGCATTACAAGCCTGACCTTTATAGCCCAACACTAAAACCTACTCTACAAAGGGAATGCGGCGGGCATCGCGTGTAAGTCCACGTTGCCCTGGATCTTGGCCGATTATCGCACTGACACAAGCCTGAGGACGTAAATCGCCTTCCTGATCCTGGATCCGGCTCTGAGTATGAACCTGAACCCGAACCTCAACCTCCATCCAACGCCGATGACGAGTCGAACGATGTGGCGCCTCCTCAATATGGGACTACACCTTGTATTCCATGCCTGAGACGCATGGTCAAGGTGCCCTTGAAGGGACATCCTGAGCCGTGTATCTTACCAGCGACTCAGCGCTCAAAGGCGTGTCCACAATGCCATGGGAGAAAGGACAGATGCGACAGCGTAAGATACACTGACAGAATCTATTTGTCTTTTTTTGATACGTCCTAACCTTGTATAGCCCGCGCGCTCAGTAGAACTATTCCTCAAAGTAGGTACGAATCTCGAGGATAACGTCTCTTGATACTAACTGCTCGTGTTTCAGGAATGGGAGAACAAAGAACGCAGGGACCGCATGGCAGATTTCACGGAAGTCGCTGAGAATTTACAAGACGCCGCCAAGCTCAAGCTCCTCGAAGGACAACAACTCGTACGATACCCATACCCTTAATAAGAACAGTACTAATTCACAGCAGCCAAAAAAATGGGCGGATTGGGCCAAGGAAGCCCAGGGATACATCGACGACGTGGATGAAGGAAAAGCAAAGCAAGAGGCGCACAACGAAAAAGTCAAATACGACGACATGTGTGCGAAGATCAAGGTACTAGAGGCTCAGGTGAGCAGTATTGAGGGTTGGATTGCAAAGAACGCGGGGATTCTTGTTTCGCGGGATGAGAATGATGAAATGTTTGTTCGGTTTATGGCTTGTGCGATGATTCTTGAGGAGGACGATTGCGAGAAGTTTCAGAAGACGTTGGATCGTATTCGGGGGGTGGAGGAGGTAGGTAATGACGGTACTGGTGATGATACTGTAGATGAGGAGGAAGATGAGGAGGAGGGGTCTTTGTCGGGGGGACGAGATGATGTCTCAATGGTGTCGGAGTGAAAACGCCTAAACTACCTCTTTAGCATCTTTATAGTCTCCGAGGGGAGACCTGAAGAACTTGGTTGGATTGGCTTCCTGTATGTAGTTGCTCGTTACTTGCATGGCTGTTGGAAGTGATTCGAGGGATATTGAACCACTACTGAGAGGCATTGGGCTGGGCGATAACTCGGGGCGGGAATAGTTGCACGCAAATTAAATGAACATTCCCTGTCGTGGCAACTTGTGCGTTTCAGTCTTGACGAGGAGAGTAAACGTATTGCGGATAGATTGAAGTGACCAGAAAGTCGATGAATGGTGATGCAAAGTGAATGTCCCATGGATGTCGCGGGCTAACGAAAGTGGAGGACCTGAGGATCAAGTTCACAGACGGGGGAAAGCCTCGGTATTTTATCTCATATCATCGAGCTGCTGACGGCGTTGAGAGCGAGATTCTCCATTGTCGAGTGGTGTGAATAGATGCCCGGGATCACAGACCGCAGTGAAGTACTGTTTCTCAATCGCCACCGATACTTCTCCCTCGTTCGAGTCGCATGAGTTCTTGTCCCTGCCTCGGCATGTAATGAGGAACCCCTATTGTCGCGATGTATTGTACCAAGAACTTTGTCTTGAGATGCAAAGCACAACGCGATTGAAGGTGTTGTTTTAGTGGGGTTTGTGCATACGCAGGCAAATTTTTGGTTGCACTGGATCACGACCGCGTTGCTGTGGACTGATCCTGATGGGGCTCTCTATCGGCTGACAAGTCGCGAAGAGTCTAATCGGCTTAAACTTCTTGGTATTGCCATATTAAGCGTCGCCTCCTTCTGTGATTCGGCCGGAGTGTTTCAATCGATCGGAACTCAATCTTGGATATCGAGGCGCTAACGTGCGGGACTCAGTCCAACCTGGAAGACGATTTTGGTTGGATCACCATGGGGACCTTGAGAGCAACGCGCCAGTGAAGGATGCTTTCAATCACTATGAGAAAAGAAGAGTTAGGTACTTTATTGAATTTGAGTCGTGGATGTACAGCTGTAGCGACTGTCACAGTTGGATCGAGAACCGCAATCGGTTAAGCGCATTTTGGTGGTTTGGTTCCAGTCATAAACAAGCATCCATTAAAGCCTTCACCTTGGCAGAAAACACAAGTTTAAGCGCCATAGTGCACGGGATAATCTGTTCAAAAGCCAGGCAGTGAGAATGACTGAAGAATCTGTTTATTTTCTTATGTTGAGGGAGACCGGGTGTTGCGGTTGTGATAAATTGCCAGACCGGGAAATTGATCTAGGGTAGCTTTGTCACTCGTGGCCACACAAAATAGTGAGCCAGTACAGCAGACACCGCGCTAACTAACTGGCCCACTGTTCAAATTGCTCCCCCGCTGAGAAACGCTGCTCCTGAGCCAAGCGCCCTGTATCATTGCGCACTGGCGATCCATATCTCGCTTTCTATTTCCATTCAGTTCTTCAATCGCCACTCACAAAAATGCCAACGATTATATATAGCTGAAAACAGGGAAGATAGTCAATTGGAGCAGCGTCGACGAAACTGTACTTATTCGGATAATTCTAAGGGTTCTGGGGACTGTCATTCTGCGCAGCAAAGTTGACCTAAGAGACAGCCTGGGGTAATGGTCATTGATTGATTGACCTGGCTGGGCTGATAAGCAGTAAAATTACGGGGGGCTTATCGCAAGAGCAGGCGGGGTCTTCACTGGAAGAGCAATTAAGTTACAGTGGACAGCTACGCTGCTCCAGAAGGGCTAGGCGGGTTGCTTCGCGTATCACAGATACGTCATTTGCCTTTGGGCATCTCAAGCTTGCAAGAAGCCTCAGTCATGGCAATCATCGTCCCTCATTCATTCCACCAGACCACAGCAAATGCAATGCTCAACATCCTGCGAATGCCTCACACGCGAGCAGCATCAGCATCTCCACAGTTAGCGCTGCAATCAGAGCGCGACAGGTTTAACAGCCTACCTGCTCCTTGTCGACTTTCTCAACTCTACGCGTCGACAGCAATTACCGACATCGAGCAACCCCGATCGAGACGCGAGCACACTGCAGATCAACTGGAGAATTGGCGCGCCCTTAAGAGTCGAAAAGATCATCGAATCGAGCAGTGTCTGACCTGAATGGTGCTTCACAAGAGCTCCAAGCGTGAGGGCCAGGTCTGCCAGGTCTCCATGAGGCCATCTCGAACGCGCATGATCTTAACAACAAGAACTCCTCAACGCCGGTCGCACAGCGCCCCCTCTGAGCATCAACATCTTTCCCACCGAGCGCGTTCAGCGCGTATACGGCGCCAAAAGCAGCATTCACAACCCGTTGATCCCGACGACAAGCCATACCCAGTAGGACCCCAAGCGATGCTTAACAACGCGATCCTCAAGTTCACGCCCGTGATGGTTGCGATGCCCGACTCCAGCCCGAAGCCCCCGACCGCTCTCGCAAGAACAATTTACATAACGGCCGACGTCGCGTCATCCGCGCCGAGACATGTCGCAAGCCTGAACTCTTCTCCGTGAGCTTCCAGGCTGCCTCGAAAAGCACATGATTGACCGTCCGGCACTACGACTACGTGAGCGACTGACGAGGCCCCCCGACACAGCCTAGATAGGCTGAGCCAGTAGTAGGCTCAAGATCATCACTTTGTTGTTCAAGATCAGGTTGAAGACGTTGACCGCCCGGTACGCCAGCTTGTACAAACCCTCCGGGAAATATCTTAACAGCGAATACTTGAACAATACTGCGAGGAGCGAGCCAGTCTGCCAATAGATCCCTGACCGTGCCATGCTGCAGCAGAGGCGCTGAAGCTCGTTGCGGCGACGATTGAAGATGAAGAACAGGGCTATGTTATACGGATACGTCAACTTGATCGCAAGTCTTCAGGTCCGACAACTGACGATCTGACGGCGGAAGGCGGAAGTTCGTTTCCGGTGCTAGTTTGGTCTCTAACATCCTCGAGCTGACGCACTATAAAGCGCTGCGCCCTTTACTATCAATGGAGGTTTCGAAGGTGCCGTGCCTCAAGGTAAGTTTCCTGCATTTCTGTCGTCAGCTTTAAACTAATGTTGCAGCTCCTCCACTCTTTCAACTACACTAGGATATCCTCCGAGAACACCTCCCCGCGTCGCCCGAAGATCGCTCGCCACGAATCCAACGTTGATACACGAGAACGCCCATGCCTAAGAACGACGAACAGGCCAAAGAATACTCGCAAGCGACTATTTACGAGATCGATACTATATTCATGGACTAGCTTGAGGAAGGGCTGCTTTGGAGAAGGATATTTCCAAGTCTGAAACCATGAATGTCACATGTGGTCGGAGGTCGGCAGTAACCTGGTGCTGTTATCTAGAGACCTTATATAATCTGAGATCATTCCTGAGAAATCTAGTGCCAAGTCCTCTAACACGACCATTCGGCCGGTCATCAAAAGCAAGAGAGGCGTGAAAGAAGTCAAGACCGACTCAACCAGAAAGGAGACTGGTTCGATCAGATGGGCAGGTAAAGCAGTTGCGCCCTTTTGCTGTTGTCGTGTATTGTATGGGATATACGTTTCTTGCTTGCTATCTTCCCCCTTGGCCCCAGACTCATTGCCGTCGGTCTCTGTATGGAAGTCCTCCCCCCCCATTGACTGCTTTTGCAGAAAGGCATATCTTTACTCAACATATCAATAGAGCGAAGCACAAGACAGTTAAATATGCGATGCAAATACGGACGGGTCCGAATCTCCACTTCATCAACAACCTCCTCCGAGCATGAGGATCAAAGAGCAAACCCGGAGTGAGCTTTTGGCTACACCATGGAGGATACCAACACCAACGTCTCCTCGAATTGCAGACACCAAGTCGCGTGCTTCTCAAAGCCTTAGAGGTCCTCCATCAGTACAGGTTACCGCTCATCGAACGTGCCACGCCCGCTTGCCTGAGTGCGCGTCCTGGAGAAGATCGCTACCACACGCTGTCCAGCTAACAAGAGATGAACCACTTTCTACGACACCTTAGAAGTCTGCTTGAAGGCGATTACCCGGGTAGGGACGAAAGCTTGATCAATGTCGGCCCTGGTCCGCCAAACCCGGCTTGAATGAATCGCGAGCTGGCAAGATCTCGGTTGAAGGCATACCAAAGACAGTCTCTTTGAAGTTCGGTGTATACAATCTTCACGGGTTACATCGAGACACTAACAACCATTAACGCTTCTTAATTCTGCTGGGTACCGTGATATCTCAGTTGTTGATGTATCCTTTCGCCAGCTTGATCATGGGAGCACCCAGCATTTGTCCAAGTTCTTCGATAACACGAACACCAACTTCACTACTCTTAGCGAAAGTGACATTGGTGAAGCTTCAGGACTTCTCTCTTGTTATGGTCTTGGCGGTTTTGCAGTCCAACATGTCTTGATCAGATTCGGCTGGCTTTCTCTGGATACAAGACCTTAACAACTGGACGGGAAACCCTCCGCTGTTAAGCGCCAAGTGCGGTACATTTTGCTTCGTTTCTATAGAACGGCTTACATCCCAGCTGGCGTGAACCACTCCTTTCGCAAGTTGGGCCAGCCATCCTATCGAATGGTGAACAATATCTCACGCTGAAGGAGTTCCGAAGATCGATGCAATGCCAGGAGGACAAGAGGAGTGTGTGATGCCACGAGCGACTCATCCAAGATGCTCACGTGTCTCAAAAGGGTGTTCGTAAATTCGCAAAGTGGCTTGTTGGCGTCACCAGAACTCTTGACGATGTTAGCAGGCCCGGCGACGTAACAAAAGGAGCAGCAGGCAAGACTTGGAACTGAAGACCCGAACGAACGAAGGCGCCGTTGCAGAACTGTTCCCCTCAAAGTGCTTGGGGATTTGCCTGGACACCACCGCGAACATACCGAGCTTCTGTTTCCTGGCAGTCGTGGGGAGACCAAGCTCATCACCAACCCACTGGAGACCAGTCTCGTTCTAACCGAGTACCGTAAGAGCAGAAGTGGATTACTTTCGAGACAATGGAAGATTATGGTACATTTCAAGGATGGGGCCCAAAGTCTACGGTAGCTAAGCTGCAGCTGGCTTGTAGACTGACAACTCACGACTAATGCGTTGATGACATGTGCAATTTCTGGCCCCGATTCATCTCTTGCATAATGTGCATCACGAAACTTGCGATTTGTTATGGTGTGGCGAGTTACGTTGAGATATGAACCGGCCAACGCAACTGCACGAACCTTGTACCACAACATTTCAGTCGCTCCTTGGATATGGACCAGGAAAGCCATTAATGAGCTTGACTGTGATCTTGTTCTTTGGTGGGAAGTGTCGATGACATCTATGAAGACGGCGACTGTGAGTGTATTGCTGTTCTTGAGATGGAGGTCGAGCTGAGTTATTGTACCTTCTTGTTGTTGACGGACTGGTTGTACGCCTAGTTGAACAATGCGATACAGTAGGATCAACAACGGTGCATATAGCAGAGACGTCTGCGGCCTTTTGGGAAGGTGATGAAGTCGATGCTGAGTAGTCTGCAACGATTTTGGAAAGGAGATGCCCCCGAGATTGAAGGTATGGCCTCTTTAGTTGGGCAACGTGAGACGCTGCTCTCGATAGCCGCTCCTGATGCCCCGAACTGATCCGAAAGAAATAGGCGGTAGACATCTAGTAATGTTCTTTTATGCTGTGTGAGCGACACTGCGTACTTCGAAGCTTTCAGGCTGATACATCTGCCAGTCTTTCGCTGGAGACCCCAATAGGGAACGGCGTCCTCTACTAAATCATGCTGCCGTCGTCTTAGGGCATCGGTTTCACATAAACACCATTCATGCAAGTCAAGCTACAAGGTAGTAGGGAACAATGACGATGTTGGAGTGCGAAGATACACTCTGGAATGAACTGGCTACCGTCGGATGATGTAATGACATGTCCGGATGCCTCAACATCGAACGTAGTGAATGCTGGCTGGTAGTCTTTGTCAGGCAATGATATATGCCACGATGAGAGTAGCACCTTCACTTGTTATCTGCAAAAGGGTCTCAAGAGCCCCAAGCGATGAGCATCGCAAAGCTCGACGGCGGCGATGTCCTACCTATATTTCTTCTCTTCGCTGCGGCCATTGATAAAGCTCCCCGCGGACGGCCACAGGCTGGGAAGTTCTAACACCTCATCCGAAGTCGCCTTATACGATGGCATCTCCGCGAGATGGACAAACTGGGAAAGCTGTCATTACATGTTGTGGCAGTCCGAGCCAGCCATGTTGAAACGTGGCCATGCACCGCTTGTTAGTAGTCGTAGTTCGTTGAGGATAGTGAATACTAAGAGTCTTATAAGCGTCCTTGTGAGTATGGACAGTCAATGACTAAATAGGGGCAACGGACCAACAAGCGACTTGACTTAGAATCCTTGAGGCCATTTATTTATCTCGATATAGCACCGAGAACCTTACCATAGACATTCATGGCTGCAGTGATGCCCTTCTCCGTTGAATCAGCCCTATAAGCCGAACTGGGAGGCCTTTAAACCTAGAGTATAAATCACGATGCTCCCGGCCCAACTGATGTGAGACAGTTCAGGCGCTACAATTGAGAACACTCAAGCACGGATTTGCGGCGAGGGAGAAAGGGGAGGGGGAAGTTTTGTACATGGAGGACCTGCGGCGTATAGTTGTTAAGGAATTGATGGACTGGCTAGACTCGGAGGCCGAAAAGATGCAACTCACGGAGGAACTGTCACGAAGCAAGCATATGACGGAAAATTGACAAAGGCGTGATTGTTCAATGTGGCGACAAGGACAGACCTATGGTATACAGAGGGCGACCAGAGAGTACCGCACCTATGTCCAAGGACCACTTTGACTACTGCTGGATAGAAGAGCCATACTCGATTTCTAAGACTTGTCCTGCCATTGAGGTGCTTCTCCTTACGCTCGCCAGTCTCGGGGTTCTTGTGACAAAGTGCAACTTATTGGTGTGGCCACTCTTATCGGGATCGAAAATGATCACGTAGGGGATTTTGCTTGCAAAATCTTTCTGATAAGAAGCTTTGTTGTCGGCAAGGAGCTTCATGTAAGCACCATCACACCAGTGCATCTCATCAGACCTTTGCCGACCTTCGGATGACCACTCTCAGTTTTGTCAAGTCGGTGCTTCCTCGACTAAATGCGTCTCTCTTTGATGCGCCAGACCCATACCCTCTTTCTGAGGGCGTTTGGCTCCGCCTCGATCTGGGCGTACAGATAACAAGGCCAGTCCTGTCCGTCAACCGGGCCAAGGGGGACACTGCCATCACATCCATGGCCATAAACAACCCCATAGTCACAGCGCCACTCACCAAGATGACAATGGACGCGACCATCGCTCGCGCTAGGTGGTGCTGCCGGTAAGAACTTGGTGACTTTGATGCCCAATGCGCGCTCATCGCAGAGTGTTGGTCTCAAGGGATCAGTCGAGTCTCGGATGTTCGCGTGGCCGGAGCATATAGACCACTCATTGGAAACGACACATACGTCAGGGTAGGTATGAAAGTCAAGGACGAGTGCTGGTGTTCACGAGGGTTGGATGGGGTCACCGGGGATATCGGGGTGAGCAAGATGGGCGCCTCGATTGCTGGTGCCTATGTGACGTCGAACAAGTGCTCGGCACCTATGACGGCCTCAAGTTCACGCAGGGGAGATAATGCCACTCGAGGAAATGGTGACAACATGCCTCGAAGAGATCAGTGCGTCTTGGTTATACAAGTTCACCTACAAAATGAGAACAGCGTCCAGAACAAGACCATTGGGATCTGAGGTAGAGCTTGATGTTGTTGACCTGCTTCGAGTGGATGTTGCTGTCGCTTCTTCCGATTACCTCCCAGGAGCAGTTCTTCCACGCACCCGGACTGGGCATGAACATGCGGGCCAGGTCGAGTAGGCCGTTGCAGCCGATTCCTAATTCTGAGCAGACCATGGCCTTGTGCCTCACCACCCCCCTCTCGTCTTAGTGAGTACACCCTCCTCCGTGATCCCGTTCGTGGTGATGTTTGTGATCGCTGTCAAGTCCGGCTCGATGCGTTCCATCGCCATCTTCTTCCTGCACTCGTGCCCGGTCTTCAATATACCCAAGCACCATAGCGTGAACTGGGGGGCGATCTTGTTCTGGCTCCAGTATGTCAACGGCATCTTGTATTCTGCTCCATCTCATTCAGATCGCAATCGCTCCGGATAACCGAATCGCCTTGTAGCAGCAGTCCGTGTACCCATTCCTCCACGAGTCCTGTATCGCATCTCGGGTTCATGTACTTCGCCTTAATCCCTTCGCCAACCTCACCCACAAGCCTGAGCGAGTACAGGAACATGGACACCTCAGTGACTGTCATCTGGTCCATGATTGCGCTCAAAACCGGGTACGAGGATATGCACAACTCCCTCAAGGTTAACTTGTTGGCGGTCATGGTCTGTTCTCGTCTTCACACACATAGACCCATAGCTGGCAGTTCGTTTTCTTCACCACAATCTCGACCTTTTACTCGAGCACGTCCGAAGCGAGATCTTGATGACTGGTTGGTGCTTGAGCTGTCCTCTGACGTTGCTCCGGTGCGCAAACGGCGGTGGAACCTACATCACCACTCTGACGAACTGCGTGTAGTCACATGGCTTCAGGGTCTCAGATACCATCATCCCCGCTGTCGAGCATCCGGTTTTGCACGTCACTGGGCTGTAATACGGGATTCGGATGCTGTTCAAGAAAGATTCCGTGGTGTAGCACGAGGCATCGGTGATGTACAAAGGGTCGATCCGGAATGAGCTAATGCTACCTATCTCGTTCGTGCTCTTGTTCCTACACAAGGTCATGTAGACCGTGGTGGCCGAGTAGGTACACGTGTAGTTGGAGTTGACCATGATCCGGATGCCGTTCTCGTCCGTCTGCTTATCCTTGTCAGCGGTCTAGTTGTCGGCTCCTGCATATGACGGGGTGTAGAGCCTAACCGGCGTAAGAAATCGACTCTCGATTACGCTAGAGATCGCGAGCATGATGTCTATTATGTCTAGGCAGTACTGCAAGAGTTTGGCGAGCAACTCACCCCCCTGATCGATCAGCTCTGCGGCCGTATGCTCGGTCACATCCACGCCCGTGGTGCCATCTACCGCCACAATCACCGGCCAGATCGTGATCGAGTCGTTCCGCTTCTACGTGTTGCACCACAGGTTCCTGATTCTGTAGATTCATATATTCACGTCGTTGCCCAAGATGACGGCCTTGATCCTGTGCTTCTTCTTGCGATCGATCCAGTGCGAGATAGTGCCCAACTCCCTGAGTATGTTCATGTACTTCCTTCTTCAGGACGCCAGGTGCCTGATCCCAACCGCGTGCACGAACGAGGCTGCGTCCAAGGCATCTAGACGACCGAGGCCATGATCTAGGGCGGAAGGGGGACGGCCAACGGGAACAAGCACCAGTTCAGCATCGAGCTCCGCATCGTGTTCTACCTCAAAAGGGCGAGAGCGGATGGTCTTGGACATGAACGAGGTTTGCAAAATATGGTTTGAAGTTACTTAGACTCTATCTAAAGTTCTGTCTCCTATATCCCTGCATCTTCTAATGCAAAAATCTGCTGTAGCAGATTAAACCTCTCTAGATATCTTTCAATCTCGTCTGGTCCTCTTTCTTTCGCCTCAGAAGGGATAGCCTCCTCATCCAGTGCTTCCGCCAATTCCTTTGCTGTGGCTGGTCTCGCAAATTCGGCTGTCAAGCTTTTATCTGCGCCCGACCTTAGCAGGAGGCTGACGGCTTCAGGGCATAGCCTTAACACTCCCCAATGAAGCGCTGTCGTACCTCCCACTCCATCGGCTTTGTGGTCGATATCTCTTGGGGTGCAGAAATGCTGTAGAAGTCTCTCAAGAACTGGTAGCTCTAAGTCGTAAAGTCTTGTAGGGACAAGTGCACCTGTCCTTGAAATGTCATACATGGTCCCTGCTCTTACTGCAGTCATCAAGGCCGTAATTCCATACTCTTTGTTGACAATATTGGATGCACCATGTCGAAGAAGCCATTCCACGGCTCCCATTGTTCCGCTATTATTAAAAGTTATTACTGTTCCAAGAGGCGTAGTGCTTTGGCCAGGCTTATGACCAATGTTGGATGCTTCTTCTTCAATATTGGCACCGTACCGAAGCAGTACATCTGCAACATTGAAATGCTGATTTTGCAAAGCTATTGACAGAGGGACCTCGTCCAATAATTTGCCATGGCTATTAACGAGCGTGCGCGCATCTGAGGAAGAGAGATTGCTTAATAAAGCATTCATAAAGTGCGGATCGGGATGAGCGTAGGCTGCCAAATGAATCGCGCTCTTTGTTGTTCTGTTGACCTTCTCAGATGCAATAGTTGATGTTGGACGTAAAAGCCAGAGGAGCCCTTGGCTGAGCCAGTTATCCGTCATTCCTTGCATCTTGGTCGGAGACACCTGAGTGTCTGGGCCTGCGTAGCTTAAAAGAAGATCGAAAATAGGCCTATCGCCGAAGGCGAGGGCAAGCTGAGCAGGCAAACGCAGATGCATCCCTGATGGAACAGGGTTAATCAGTTCGGGAACTGTCTGCTCGGGGTAGGCGGCCAGGAGATGTGAGACTATTGATATGTCTCTACTGAGAATAGAATGTTTGATCGCAGACGCATAGTCGAACGTGACACGTTCAAACTCCTGTGACTTGGCCGATGCCAGTATATCTATAGTTAGTTGCATTTGCTGTAAGTAAGATTCCCCGTGTAGTGCCATCCGATAATGGAGCGGATCTGGATTTACTGCATATCCCAGCAAAGAGCTCTGAGCACCTCGTTCTGTCATTGATTTCCAAACATTAGGTGCAGCGGATTGTATTGTGGATTCTCCGGTCATGTATGCCTTGAAAGCTTCTCCAGTATACTGGGGGTCAAATAAACCAGCTTTTCCATACCACTTAGGAGGTTGAATTGGTATGTCGGAGGCGAGTAACAATAGCAGCATACGAGAGTTGTGCGCACAACAAGCAAGTGCAGCTGCATGAGGTGCCCTGCTGTGGTCGCCCACTCCTCTGTCTTTATATGGATCCGCTCCTAGATTGATCAGCACTTTGGCGGCTATGTATGAGTCGCGTTGTACTGCACGGCAGAGAGGTGTTCCACCACCAACAGTTTCGCGAAAGTGCTCATTAAAGACAGTATTGGGAGCACAAACTCCATCAATATCTGCTCCACTATGGCATAACGCTAAAGCCAGCTGAAACAATTCATCTTCATCTCTATCTTCAAACGCGCAGAGCCAGTGAAGAGGAGATTCGAAATTGTCCGTCAGGATGTTGCCACTGGCCCCCGCTGCTATGAGATACTCTACTATAGCATAGTTTCCTGACCGAGTGGCTTGAAGAAGGGCAGTCTCGCCTCTAATATTCTGCGTGTTGATTAACGCACACGGTCCATCTTGAACAAGATGCTGTATGATATCAAGCCTGCCAACGGTAGCAGCAATATGAAGAGGGGTGTCTCCTGACTCTTGGATAGTCTCAAACTCAGGTATACTGGATCTATCCGAGAACAAGGAATGCGTTGTGATTTCCGCTTTGTATACTGAATTTTCGAGGAGCTTGTGTCCGACACCGCAATACTCAGTTCGAAATATTGAGAGTGCCTCTCTCCATGCATTGGGATCTAGTTCTCGGAGGGTACTAGATGCAACATGTGAGCCCATCATTGTTGCTCGCTTCAGCCACTGAATGGTTGTGTGTCTAGAGATTGTGTTGCTTTTTGGAACATTTTGGATCGTGGTCAAAACGTTACTGTCTCTCGCATGTGGTGTCTCTAACGCCTTGCTCACCCGATGATATATCGCTTGCGAGGATGGTGAACCCTTTGAGATAGTATTCTCGTTTGCGGCAGACTCGAGTAGCTTAAGAACCTCTGCTGCATCTATATGGTACCCGGTGTACTCTGCTGATCCTGGAGCGCTTGGAGCGACTGTCCCGATTCTGAGGAGGTTCATGATGGCGGCAGCGTGGTGAGCCTCAGCAGCCTCACCTTCTGATCGACCTGAGATGTTGACAAAAGCCAGTAGTATCTGGCGCTGCAGAACTAAAGGCAAATTATGCAGGTCACTGAAATCACCGATGGCCTTGTCAATATGTTAGTACGGCTATTAACTAGTCCTTCAGGTCTGTTCTTATCTTACAGTTTCTCTACTGGCTCGCTGCACAGGAGATAATCTATTAATGACTGTCGATGGCTCTGGTAACAACCTATGTTGTAAATTAGCTAAAGGCTTCGCCAATCTTAACCGCCCGTTCGGTTTAATACCCTGGTTGATAAGCAAGAAGAAGATCCAATGATCTTTCCGCCGGAGTCGTGAGTAACGATTCGAAGAGGGCTGTGACCTCATCTAATCTCGCACTTGGGACTGTCCCTTGATCGCGCATAAATCCGATGGCTACATCAATAAGCATCTTACTATCTTTCTTGAAAAACTCTAGGAGCTCCTCGGGGCTATGGTTCTCAAAGGCCTCGAGATAAATAAGCATCTTATTATTTTTCTTGACAAGCTCGAAGAGCTCACGGAGGCTATCGTTTTCAAAGGCCTCGAGTTTCCAAGGTGGCAACCCATCGAGTATGATTGACCACAAAATCAACCCACAGCTATAAACTAGTATCGTCAGTAAGCAATATCATCCTTGGAAACCTTGAAGCTCACTATCTGCCTTGATAAGCTGGTCTGTCGTGACTGGTGTCATGTGTTCTGGGGCCATCCACGGACGTGTCCCTGCAGTCCATGGTTTCGTGGAGTCATGCTGATCGAGGAAAATAGAAAGACCAAAATCACCGAGCTTAGCCACTGGCCTGAGCTCGGTGTCATGATGGACTACTAGTATATTTTCGGGTTTGAGGTCTGAGTGTGCAATCCCGTTCTGATGAAGGGCGTGCACAGCATGCGCAATATCACTTGCAAGCATGAGCTTGGTATCAAGATCGACCTTTTGCCTGCGGCCAAGGAACTGAGTAAGTGTCCCATATTCCCCATACTCTACCATGATTACAGGTAGCACAGACTCCCCTGAGCTTATTACTTGCTTGTCCCAAGCGAACCCATAGACATCCAAGATGCGAGGATGTTCTCTGAGTCCGGGATGGGAGATGACTAAGAGTTCTGTGGTAATCGACTTGATGACATTTTGCTCATCCAAGTTGTCTGCTATTTCGAGGTTTGGCCACTTCAGAACTATCTCTGCTCCGGCTGTAAGTCTTGATGAAGGGTCATCTGAGGTACGGACCGGCATATAGTCAGGCAACCGGAGGAGTCGAACGCTAAACTGGCTGCCGCGTCCGATCTCATTACTGATCGGCAGAGAATTAGCCATACCGAAGTTGGAGTAATGCTTATCTCTGACGAAAACTTCATTAAAAATCATGATGAAGGACGCAAAGTCATAGACTTGATAATGCTGTTCAATTTGGCCGATTCTGGCAGGGCCTCGGCTTCGCAATCGTTGGGCTACGCTGCTGTACATTGCGTCAGGTTTAGGGTGTCCAAACAGGTAAAGACATGCGAGTTTCTTTGTTCAAGTTTGACTGGTGAATCGGTTATTCGAGTCAAGCTGATCAGGTGGGAAGGCGGCAGGTCGTAACATTTATCATTGTTCATCAAATGTAATTTGACCTGTCAGAAATGCACTCTTGGTGGCTGAACATTTCAAGCCAAGCTGAAAATTGATGGTCGGCTGAGCAGCGTGCAGGAATGCTTGAAACCGACGGGATTCCGTAACATCCAATGATGGAGCGTATCTAGCGCCAGATCTACAGGGTGGTCAGCATCTGTGTGACTCTCGTTGAGTAAAATATCTTAAAATCTTACTTTTCCGTATTTTGACGGAGGTTAGCATCTGTGTGACTCTGCTTGAGTAGAATCATTTAAAGTCTTGTCCGTACTTTGACGGGGATAGGACTGTAATTCATGCCCATATCAGGTGATGCTCAACTCTTTATAACTTTCAGGTTCAACGGGAAAACAGCTATCAGAAAATTCGTCACTCCAAGACCCCAGTGCTTTCAAAATGGCCGAAGCTGTTCTAGGTGTACTTGGCCTCGTCGGTACTGCAATCGACGTCCTCAAACTGGGTTACATAGCAAGCGACCGCAAGGACAGCATCACCATTCTTCGAGGCCAACTACACCTCGAGAGTGTCCTTCTTCGGAGATGGGCAGAATGCGTCTTAATCGGCCCACCAGGCGAGGTGCCTGTTATACCAACGGAATACTGTGCCATCGTCCACGAGCGTCTAACCACAATGCTTGCTCTGTTTAGAAATTCCGGGCATTTGATTGAGAAACATAGTAGGGACATGCAACCACTATTCCCACCAACCCAAGCAGCAGAACCTTCTTTGCCCGGAAGGCACACAACTCTCTCCAACTATATGTCAAAGGTTGGCGCAAGGTCCAGTCCTTTCAAATGGGCAGTCCGTGACGCAGAAGTCCTTCGGCAACTTCTAGGGGATATTCAAACTATTAGGGTTGGACTAGAAGAATTGCTGCCTCCAGATAAGCAGCTCATGAGTCTTCAGATTCTTACAGATATTATGCCATCTACATCCACAGAATCTATACCCAGTATCGACACCGCGGCAAGAATTGCATCCGAGAACAACAAAGTTGACGCACTTGCATTGGAAACACTCCGTGCAACACTGTCCGTTCGCGCCCTGTCCCCAGATACGGTTCCAACTCTTGAAGAGGTCAACGTCAGGATGCGGCAACTCTTCATTATGAACTATTCGGTCAACACCGCAGATGGGATCTTGCCCTGGAAGATGGATCGCTGCAGTGTTCTCATGAGCAGTAACAAATTTTGTTCCAGCCCTCGGCCCGTTATTATCGAATGGCGACAGTTTAACCCAGAGTTGTATACCGATTTTCGGTTTTTCGAGGCAGATGTTGTTAAGCTTTGCTGGCTCTTGAGCTCTTTGAGGAGTCATCCAGATGTCCATCTTCCACGCTGCCTGGGTTACTTTAAAGACACCAAGTCTAGCTTAAGACGGTTCGGAATAGTCCTTGAATACTCGCAAACAATTCAGGCTTCTCCACTCAAGATTCAACCGAGTCTAGAGTCGTTGTATGATGCCTTGAAGAATGGTTCATATCGCTTACCAGCAATCGAAATACGGTTGAGCTTGGCTCAAAATATTGCAGCTTCAGTATTCCAACTTCTTTCAGCAGGATGGCTCCACAAATCTTTACGAAGCGACAATATTGTACTCACAAATGGCCTCAAGGTCGTTCAATCAGCCAAACCTACCGAGGATCTTGGGGCTGTTGACTTCATCATTGCAGGGTTCGAGTTTGCTCGCCTGGATAAGCCGGGACAGATTTCGGATGGCGATAACAGACCTAGCAAGGAGGATCTCTATAGACATCCAAATGCCACCAGTGAGAAGAGAGCACGTCTCGAGTATCAGCAAAAGGGTTATATCAAGAGCTATGACGTATACAGCTTGGGGGTACTGCTATCGGAGTTGGGCTTCTGGCGAAGAATTGACGAGTTGCAAGTAAGCCAAACTGCTAGAGAGGAATGGCAGCATGAACCATTTCCGCATTATCTGCGCGACAGAGTCAGCCGCGACATGCCAGGAATGATGGGCAGTCGGTTCACGCGAGTAGTGCTATGGTGTCTTGCTACTAGTCAAGGAGAGACGGTGCTTTCAACCGACCAGGAGCTTTTGGCGCAGTTCGAGGGGCAGGTTTTAATTCCTTTGTTTCAATGTCGACGAGCAGCAACTTTTTTGGTATAAGAGAAGACCGAGATTAAGATCAAGGAGTTATCGAGACGAACTTGTCTATACCCGGCGCGGCTGGGCATCCTGGCTCGTCGCAGTGCACCAATTTGTCCGCTAGCTCATTCGCGTGCGGTGTCATGAGCATTGTCGGGTCTCTAGTCATAGTCCTGACATGGAGGTCATCCAGTCGACAATCATATGGTGGTAAGGGCTCGGAATCCGACCTCCCAGCTGTGTTGGATGGCGATATCCCACATTGCGGATGCGGAGTAGACGTTGGTGCTGGTGTAGGCTTATGGCGGGAGTTGAAGCTAAGACTGGAATCACCAGAATGATATAAGGCACTTCGACGACTGGGGGAGGGCTCGGGACGTGTGAGGACATGAGCGACGACAGGATTGTGGTGGCGGAGGACTTGCTACGTTCTTGTACCTGGTTGTCATGTCTTAGCTTCGTGTTAAGAATCTCCTTCCATGGGGATGTGATTACAATACTCACAAGTTTCAGAACCCGTATGTTGCATCCAAAATTCGCATTATAGTGTTGGTCTGTTCATGGACCTTGTCGTAGATCGCATCCTTCTCTGCCTTGCACCTCAGGCGGAAGTCGTGAGCCTTGTCCAAGTCCATATCAGTCGGAACTCTACGCCCGGTGCCTGACAGACCTCAAGCTGTCGCCAGTTGGGACGAAGGCGTTCCCGCGCTCTGACAAGTCAATGCACACAGAGCCCGGGACCAGCTTCTCGCATGTCATGGTGGGAGACTGCATAATATCTTGCCAGCAAAATTGCTGATAGAGAACAACACCGAAGTGGTATGCGCACTTAGTAGGTTAAGTATGAACCTAAGGGATGCGTTATATGTATGTATAAGGTCGAGGCGCCTGAGGTGATGTGTGGGTGTAAGGGCCGCGGAGTTGATGTTGGTCTCGATGGCGACGAAGCCGGACTTCAGAGCTGCGGAGGATAAACAAGCTCTCCGCGAGAGTGTCGAGATAGTCCCCCTGACCTCTGGGCCGGGTCAACATGCCCTCTATATCATAGAACGTAACGCTAGCAAGTCGTTGTCATTCAAGGCGTGGGAGAGGATGTAGTCGGGGCTCGGGGAGACTTGGAGGAGATCAGGTGCTGGAAGTTCGGTGGGAGGTGTATAGCAGGATCGTAAGGCTGACGGTGGTGTCGCGAGCGGTCATCAATACCGTCTCGGCCGGTCCAAAGACATGTCGTGTCGGTGGCTCTTGTGACACCGTTGGTCGAAAGGTTGATTGTCCGACGAGCGGCCCGGTGCCTAGATAAATCACTGGGGTTCATTTTGGCACTGTTGGCAGAACCAGCAGTCGCGTGCTAGACATGGTCGTCTCGAAGGACGTTCGTTAGAGAGGAAAAATATAAGATGTGAATGTGTGAGCGTGGGTTGTTTTGAGCTGAAATTAGTTAAAGAGCGACACGGAAGGAGGACGTCGGTCGCGTTGGTTAGGTACGTCATTGCACGGCGCGTCACTGGCCCCACAATTGACGGGAGGCACTGTTGCAGTGGGAGATCTTTTAGCGAAGCATAGCGCGGAATTCCCCAGTGTCTTCTGACAGGGCGGAAGCAGTGGCATTGCCTGTAGTTTCAGTGGCGGAAACTGGGCCCAAAGACCTGCAACCACTCATTTCCATTCTCATCAGTTCCATACCAAGAACATCGTGAAGACGCAGACGCGGTCAAAGAACAGTCTCGGTTCGTTATTGAAGGCTGACACAGCAGCGATACAGCAGTGACGATAATCCCAGATTGCGACCGAAAACAGACTACGAATACTTCATATCTAAACCACCGCGGCTGGATCTTTCCGATCAACCGTGACCACGCTCAGCAACCCACTCCTTCTGTTATCCCCGATTGTTGTCACGACAGAAATATTGGCCGCGAGCACGAGTAGACACAAGTCGAACGCACCCAATACCTATGCCCACCCACCTCTGAAGACGAGACGACGCTTACTCGGTTGACGGCGACGATATCGGAAGGTGATGACGGACCGCGACGCATGATTCCTCGAGCACCGAGGTCAAGGTGACGTCAAGGCGCCGGCAATACTGACCTTGATGTTGAGCCATTGAGAAGTCAAGCCGCACCAACAACACCCCCTGTGGGCTACCGACCCAAATTGACCTCCGGCGTGAACCTGCTGTCAACGTGCTTCAACATCTTCTGCCGTCCGCGTCCTTTGTGCGGTTGACCCTCAACTCATTGCGATTTGCAGGCTCGACCTGGCAGGAGACGATGTTGTCCCCGCACATATTGCTAGACTTTATGAGCCCAAGGTAGGGCCCGAGGTAGTGGTGCCCTACCGTTGCTTGAACCCATCAAGATGTGATACATGGAGCTTTGAGCGTGGCAGCCGAACTGAAGAGCACGATGTGGCATGTATGTGATAAAGATGAAGCCCGAGAGTAACAGAGGGTCCACTAACGGGGCGAAATGAAGCACGGGGTCTCTGAGCACGACAACAACTCCGGGGTCGACGGGGAGGTGGGGGGCAACCCTACATGGAGGTATGATATGACATGGGGAAATGTCTTGTGACGTGGACCCTGTATAACATTGTGATGACCCCAGTAATATCTTCCAAAGAACATGGCAATGTTCCCGAATGACAACACGCCTTAGTTAAACAGTGGCTTGATGCATTGAGGTCATGACGGAAAACACTAGCCAGAAGTCTCATAGAGCATTCTGTAGGCGTGGAACTAGCTGAACATCTTTTCGGTCTAGGTTGGGGAACCGCATGCGAAACAAGCAGGGCAGCATCCAGAAGGTTTACCTGCCTGGCCCTGCCCTGCACAAATACAAAGGTTTCGAGTTCATAATGCCCCACAGAGATCTAATGATAGTGCTGGTGTATGACATGAGCCATATCTACTGTTTATTGGCTCTCTTTAGAGAGATCGATCAGCGGATCGGCCCGAGCCTTGTTTTTAGATCGGATGCGACTTTAAGGGTCCCGAGGGTGCCGCAACCACAAAAGATGACTTTTGTGGAGCTGAAGGTGCAACCAATTCTCACACAGCGTCATATCCCATTACAGCGATATTTGCCGCACGAGCAGAGACTTGTGGACAGTATGTACCATAGTATCTTGCTAGTAATAAAAAGATTCGGCGAATACTTGTCAGAAAGTATTGTTGAAGTCATGCAAACGCCAACTCCATGGATTGCGATGAAAGGATCCTCATTAAGACAACCAGTATAAGCTGGCTAGGATGCAGCATGACCATAGGGATGGTATGCCAAACCAGAGGAGTTTCTGACCATAAGGGCTTACAGAGGCTAACAGGATGAAACCTATCAGACGCTCGACAAAAGAGTCGGAGGCAAAAGCCATGGGGCCGCTGATATCTCATCAAATAATTGACAGTTAGAGTCTGCGCTTTTTGAAAAGGGCGACTTTGTGCATTCAATGAGTGAATGGTTCAAGGGTGGATTGAACGGGTTGTCCTAGTAGTAGTGACAATACTGGCGGATGGCAACTGATGACAGTTACGTATCGTTGAAGACATTCTGCGGATAACAGATTACATGAATAATCTGCTAAACCGGAGGTTTGGTGATGAATAAAGCCAAGTAATCAGCCGGAAAAGAGGTGTATTTGTTCAGAAGTCTCAATGATGATATCTGAAGCTTTGCAGTAAGAAGATAATCTGAGATACTCAAGAGATCAGGTCTTCCAGAGCCGAATAGTCGACCAGAAAAGAGAAGATCTTGTGGATGCGGTGTGCCAATAATGGCAATTGCGTGATACTGAAGTGATCAGGTACCGTGGAGTATTGGGAGCGCTTTTGACGAGATTGTCGGTGATTCACAGATGCAGTATAAACTGTCTCTGTAGGAACAATCTTAAACCAGTGTAGACAAGGAGATATTGTAGATTCTCAATGAAGCAGCTTAGAGCCTCGCAGCTTGGGAGCGAGAACACAAGCCATGGGTGTTGATGGTGATGTATGTGGATAAGGGATGATGCGAAAAGTTGGACCATAAGATCAACAGATTGGCGCAGAGAGCGAGTTTGGCGAGAATGGTCGAATATGTCATTTGTAGTATCTTTGATGTTTTTGATGTGACATCGTGTTTTTTAGGTGGTGTTTCCGAGTATGATGTGTTGTTTTGGACTTTGAAAGCAGCAGTGTTTATGTCTGAAGTCCTGAGCATTTTATGCTGTTCCCAATATCACATTCCTGTCCAAGGCAGTTTATGCCTCTTTACCCCATACAGCTGACATTCTAGAGTATCTTTTGCTCTCCCAAATCTGATATTATTTCCGAGGCAATTTTGCTTATCGAGTCATTAATCCAATTTGTTCCTCTTAGTGTTCCCGCCTTTGTAGGCTTAAAGAGCAATTTATGCGTCTTCTAAAGCAATTTATGCTTTTATAAGGACAGTTTATGTCCTTTTAGAAGCATTTTATGCTTCTTGGACTATTCTTTCTTTGGGCCTTCCTCCTTGTGCTTGTGGCATTCGTTGCCTGATAGCTGCACGGAGCAATCTATGCTCACTACTGTGTGATGGTGTTGGATGGTTAAAAACAGGATGAATGGTTGATGAATGAGATAATTGAATGACGGTGATAGATAGCTTGAGGTCTTTGTGTTCTTGTGGATAGAGTCGTTGAATGATAGAGGATATAGAAGAGATTGAAAGCCCGAACAAGGCGTCGTAGCAGTCTGTGGAGGATAGAGTCGAGGCTGTGGCCGGGGTACGGTCACGGAGGGGTTACTACGACCGAGTTCAGATGTTATGTATGGTGTAGATGATAAGCTGTGCCACAGGTGTCGTTGAGACACAAAATTGTGAGACTGGAAAGCTAGAACAGAGATCCCAACGTGGTTCAAGTCGGACAGTCATCTGGGACAGGTGCTGAAATACTTCTCGCTCTCCTCTCTGTTCTTAAGACTTCATGAACGTTGGAAGCCACCATCGAGAAAAGAGAAGAGTCAGATCTCCTTTTGAACGCGACATGGGTGTATCGTACCTAGCGTGGTAATGGAGGAGAGATATATGGGAATTCCCGCTCGTTGAGGCGTGGTGCAAAGGTAGCATTGCGACAACAGAGCTGTAGTATTTGAGCCTGGCATGGCACCTTCAAGGCAACTGGATAAGGGGCCGTGAAGGACGAGTGGAAGGGAGGTAGGTAGCCAGTACTTCTAACTAACGGTGTGCTCGCGCGAGCACTTGGGCGTTGTAGCGAAGGTGGTTGAGAGATTGCATGGTGGATATTGACGTTTATAAGTCGTTAAGTGAACTGGCTTTTAAAGAGGGAGTTCCTGAACATAGTTAGAAAGTGCGTAAGTCGTGAGAGGTTATGAGGACTTACCAACGGCTGACACAGGGATTCGCCAGGGCATAAGGATGAGGTTTGACCAACATCCGATCCACGAGGGGAAGAAGCACTTCGGTTGATTGTAGAGTAACAGAGGCATATTGTGTTTACTGTGGGCGTGAATATTGTGTAGAGTACCGCGGTTCGTCTGGAAGAGAGTCGAGTTAGTCCTGAAGTCCCGTGGTAGCTCACGGAAGCAGACTTACGCTTGTGGCATTGGCTGAGTGAGACTGGGTCAAGAGTGCGGTGCAGCATAGCTGACAGACACAAAGAATGTGTAGAGAAGAGAGGCAGTCGAAGGTAGCAACGCCTGAACAACAGGTAGTGAATATGAAACCGAAGCTTGAGCATAAACGTGAAGATATCTCGCAGCGACTTGTGGCGATGAAGTCATTACCGCCCTCAAGGACTTGAAGATGTGCTTGAATCTCAGCAAAAGAGAGGAGTGTAAGCCTTGAAAGTGCTCAAGTCCCACGATACAGAGCGAAGTGAGAGGTTTAGATGTAAAAGAGTTGAGAGATGAGAGAGTTGACAGTTGGAAGAGCCCAAGATGAGAAAGTCTTATGTCATCACCACCCAGGGCGGTGAGATATCTAGACATCATATCGCGAATACTTCAAGCCGGCTTCTTTATTCTAGTACCTATACAGCTAAATTTCAACAGAAAGACTACTTCTGATCCAAGCCAATGTCCAGGTAGCTCAGTACACGAGGCAACCTCCCCTTATGCTAGGTTGAGTGCCTGCATGTACGAAGCAGAATCAACGTCATTCACGCCATCTCTGTCTTTATCATGCATGCAATTCCGCGCAATTCGACGCTAGCGATAGTGGTTGCATGTATGTACGGAGCAGGTGTGAATGTCTTTATTCAGAGCTTCAAGCTGCAGACATAAGACCCAGTGCCTAACGCACTCACCATCACAATATTCTGTTTAGTAGTCCTAGGAAGTCTGATTGAGGATGGAATGATCTCCGGCGACGTTGAAATAAGATTTACGGTATTATCGTTGCTTGCTGCCCCGAGAGTCTGGACGCTGAGTCAGAACACAAGGAACGGCGGGAGTCACAAGAATTGTGTCCGCTGATGGAGAACACGGTGTTTGCAAAGGTATCATATGGGACCCTTGAGCCTTTCAGAGGAAATCTGGTGGGTCGATACGGTGCTTGAGTGTAATGCGCGGCAGAGTGCATATTGAGCTCGTGCATCCATTGGATCGTCGCTATGCATCAGAGGCAAACTCACGAAACATCATGCTATCAGAGGCCTTTGCTTCAGGCTTTGTTGCATGATAGCGGTCTGTTAACGGGTTGATGCTGCTGCTACGAATATGCAAATGTCATCTCCTTTCCGTCGCTGGTGGTGTATCAACTGGTGTCTGTGGATATTCGTTGGCATCTTCTGCGTCCTGTCTTTCTCTTTGACAATCTCAGTCAATCTACTCTACTCAGACAGTCTTGAACAAACTCAACTTCAGTCAAAGATCCTCAAGTAAATTCCTCTTGCGTCAGACAACCAGCACACCAACATGTGTGCCGATAACTCAGAAACACTAATATGCGGCCAGCAAGTCAGCAGCTACGCGCAAGGGGGAAGTTATGGACCCCAGGCAGGTGTACGGCAATGTGCAAAGACCAAGGCAATCCTTCTATGGGCAGTGTCCAATGGTCATCGCCCAGATAATCCCCAGAGCTGGCAGAATATACTCGAGTGGTGCAATTACAACCATGGGGCTGAGTTTCTTAACATTGTCGGGAAGCGACTAGAGAAGACAGTCTGGTACTTTACAAAACTGGCTTCGGGACACCAGTTGAACCAAGATTCATTTGGCAACTCTACAGATGGTATCGCAGAGGCAGAGGCGTGGCTTGCAAGGCAAAAGAGTCTCAATGATGTCGAGATGAAAGACGCAGACTCTGTGGTCAAGACAGATAACAAGGTTAGTTCATCACCCAAACCTGGCGTCTGCATATACTAACGCCTTCGAGTCACAAGTCTCAACTTCGACCCGCAGACGCACCAAAGTTCATCGACGCCATCGACCTCCACGCTCTAGCGACGCAGCTTCCTCTAGTGTCGGGTCATCTACATCCGAAACACGACAAGGCAGTGATAAAAGGAAGGCGTTGGAGCGAAGTTGGGAGATCCTGTGGGATCAAGCCAAACGGGATGCCGGGCAAGGACAAGATTACAAGTTCCGTCGCCTGATGGTAATGGAAGAAGCAATACAATCCATGAAGATCGAGATTGACAGGCTACAGTGGGAGAATGCCTTTGGGCTATGAAGGCCATTGTCTGGTCAGAGCGACGTATCGATGTATTAAGCGCGGAAACAGAGGTGGGACGAATGATTGATAGGTCCTTGTCGGCTCTTTCCAATATGGATGGGGAGCAGTTTTTTGGGATTTCTGGCACTGGCTATTGGACTACCTGCAGTTATCTTGTTGTGGAGGTTTGGAGGGGCGCGAAGGCAACGCAACCCGTATGCCCAGGATGTGACTAAGTAGATGTAAGAACAGGCTGAATCAAGACAGAGCCTACTCAGATTACCGATCACTTCAGCAATTTGACCTAAAAGCGATTATATGCTTAGTTGTATTGAGTTATTCTTGTACCTTGCTCGATGAATCTGTAATATAAATAAGGAGAACACCCATCAACCATCAAGTATTGCTGTATGCGTCCAGGACTCGGGGCCGACAACGAAGTACGTATTTCGATTAATAACCCTTTTCACAAGGTTCTTGGCAGTCCATCTCCAGGCGTACACCGTTGGCGGATTCTGCCAGTACTCGTGGCAATATCCCCAGTTCTCTGGGTATTTGGACCTTCGCTGGTGTGCCTGGATTAGTTTCAAGACCTCGTCATTCGTTTTAGCACTGCCAATATCGTTACGGGGAATTCTACCAGGGCCCTCGAATACTATTGCTGCGTCTTCCATGTAAACCACGGGAGTGTAAGGATCCTCTGCGAGGTGGTACACACGGACATTGTTGCGAGGTCCGAAATGCACGTTATCACCTTGCACGATAGCAATTTGGCCGGCATCTGGTCCGCAACGGAAATAATAATCTCCGGACCATCCCCAGAAGTCACGAGATTCATAGTATGCAAGCAGAGCCCCGTTGGAGTTGTAACTCACAACATCGCCTTCATACAGAGAGTCAGGCATGCTACCAGACGACACGTCCGGAATCAATCCTCGAATACCTAGAAGCCGGCGATTGTGGATTTTTTGAGGTGTTCGGAAAGGGATGGAAAAGAAGTCAGTTGGTTTGACTCCTCCCCAATGGGGGATCATGGTGACTTTATAAGTGCGACCTTTTACTTTGGGTATTCGGTAGCTTGTCACCGTGAGGCTCTTTCCATTATCCTCGATATGATTCAACACCATGATGATATCGTAATTCGTGGCCCACCCTGTCATAATCTGCTGCATCTTGTCCTGTGGGTACAGCAGCATTGTCTTGGACGTATTATCTGACCACAGCGTATCGACCCACGATTTGGCAGTGATTAAGAACCCAGCAGCTCCCACTGCAGCGGCTACTAATTGGGGCGCTGTGAACCAGCACCCAAGGCAGGCAAGGACGAGGCCTGCATTAGTCATGGCTTCGGTATAGCGCTCGTCAGTGCTGCTTTCGACTGTACACGAGACAACATCAGTGCTGTCATTTTCGATAATGACAGTGCCACTACTGCTGAAATCGGTAACCATCTGCATAAGAGTCTCCTGGTGCTTCTCTAGTTGCGGAATAGTAGCTACGGTCCAGTCCGTCGATCCGGAAAGACCATGACGAATGCGGAGTGACAGGTCGAGAGCGCACTTTCCGTCTGCACACTGGCTGAGTTTGCCTTGGAAGTCATGGCTTTTGTTAGTGAGGGAGAAATAGGCACGTTCTTGCTCTCCATCTTGTGCTTGAACGCCAACTTCCAGCTCTTTAGTGTGCGAAAACAGCCCAGGTACCGCAGATGTTTCTCCAGTAGTTGCTACTTTGCCATTCCAACAAATGCAGGCGTGCATTGGACTTGAAGCCTCCTCTTCTTGCTTCTTTTGTGAGAGCACCAATGCAATAAGGTTGCCCTGGAACTGATCGGCAAGATAAAGTGGTTCACGGAATATGACCGGTACATAGTCTCTAGACCTTTCCGCCGAAAGAGGGTGGTGCATTGCGAGAGCCATTGAACAGCTCAATGGTGGTCGTTGACTGTCCATCTGAAAACTAAGATGCAGTGTGGTCATATCCTTGGGGAGGTGCAGCGTAAAACCGAACTGCTTAGAGGTAAAGGTGGCCGCTTTTCCGTCTAGGGCAATGCTCATGGTTTCAATAACTGCCTCGAAGGTTTGAGGAGCAGCACTGGGAGCTTGAGCATCTTTATCAAGACTCTCAGACAGCAAGCCATAGATCCCACGTTGGCAGAGGACGATAAAAGGTGAACCAACTTCAACTCTCGAGGGAAGGACTATAACAATGAACTCTACCAGACTTGATGTGACCTGGTCAATAATTCCATGATAAATAAACATGATTGAGATAAGATAAATGCGTATGGCATAAGATGAGAGGCGGTAGAAGCTTTGGGGAGTTAAATAGCATATTACTCCATCAATCCGTCACCACAGTACCTAATATAGTAAATGTATAGCCCCACCCATTCTGTCTCTATCAACGGCATTTATAACGTGGAGATAGGAATGGGATTTGGCTGGCACTCAGGATACAGACCACCTCCCGTCTTAGATATGACCACATACGAAAGAATAAAACAACGTAAGACCGCACAAGAGCCGAAGCCTACTCTCGGTTAGCCTTCATGCAGAAATATTGGCAGACCGACCGAAACTGACGCCTTAGATTGGCAAGGATATGCAATGGAAGGAGGCCCAAGCACGAACGAATGAAGCTGAATTTAGATAAATCGAGTCACCAGACAGACAAACCCACGGAAAGCTGCTGCATACCAGCATTAGAGCGATAAGCCATGATCAAGCATTACGGGGCTCTACAAGAACAACATTCGCGGATACAAACGGCTGCAAGTGAAATTCGCATTTCCTGCCACTTAACTCTGCATCAATATTGATTCTTGGGTTCCACTCTGGCCCAAATTGGAAGGATATTGCCGGCTGAACTGCACAAGATACAGCTCACCTCCTTCATAAATACGGGATATCACGCAGTGTTTGTAGCTAGGTTCATGATCTGATAGGCCCGAGATAAGACACTGCATTGAAGATAAGGAATGGAGGAGTTCTAGCCAGCCACAATCTGCAGTGGGCGGTCCAACTGCAGGCACTAGACATCTCAGCTGTTATATGCGTTGCAATTATAGCCTGAATGGGAAATATACTGGGTTAAATGCAGTATTCAGCACTCGTATCCAACGGCTCTAAACTAAAACGAGTGGCACCGCTCCACCCCCGTCCCGTCCTATAGGTCAGGCAACCGTCAACTTCGAGACCTATGCGCTGTCGCTATGTATCATCATCAGGCAATGATCTACAGACTGAAGCAAGCTGAAATTCAATTGCCGAACCGCCAATAAGCCAATTATGTTAATTTGATAACATTGATAGATAGTAGCCTTGATGGCACTATTGAACCCTTGAGTTGTATACCTGATCTGTGTAATTTTACATTGGGGGTTTAACACAATAATAGGGTATAGTGTGACTTGGCCGTGAGCTGTCAAAAGGTAGCAAGACGCTGACGAGATTAGACAGGTCAAACTGGTCGAGGTTAAATACTCCTTCCTTGCCCTTCTTCCTTCTATTGCATTTTCAACTCTATACCCATTAGACGTGCTTGCAGTTACTAACCCCTCTTTACTGCCACCAAGCAATCAAATCCCACCAGCAAGACTCTTCTTTCTATAACTTCCACCCAAGTATCCAAGATGGCCTCCCCAAAATGGGTCAAGAAAAGCTCCTCTCAGGGCGTATCCAACGAACTGTACTGGCGGGGTGATGTTCAAGTCCCCAATACACGTCTAGCGGACGGGCCTTCGGCCGTGGTCTACCACCATAAGATTTATTGCTTCCACCGGGGCAGTGGCAAGAGTGCCGATCTGTGGTACAATGTCTATGACGGGTCGCATTGGTATGGCGACACCAAGGTTCCTAACACAGGCATGTCAGCTGGGCCATCCGCCGTCCTCTTTGATGACAAGATCTATGTCTTCCACCAAGGAAGTGGTGGTAATGGCGAGCTATGGTACAACGTCTTTGACGGTTTCAGGTGGCACGGAGATACCAAGGTCCCCAACACCGGCATGTCATGTGGGCCATCCGCCGTCCTCTTTGATGACAAGATCTATGTCTTCCACCAAGGAAGTGGTGGTAATGGCGAGCTATGGTGGAACACTTTTGACGGTTCCTCGTGGTGGGGGGATAATAAAGTCCCCAATACAGCCATGTCAGCGTCCCCTGCTGCTCGATATGTTCCCTACGACAGAAAGATTTACGTCTTACACCAAGGTGGTAAATATAACGGTCAACTTTGGTATAATGTTTTCGACGGCTCCGGTTGGTATGGCGATACGCATGTTATGAATGTAGCCATATCGACAGCGCCATCTGCGGGAACGTATAATAGCAAGTTATTCTGTTTCCACCAGGGGGGCAAGAACAACGGCCAGCTATGGTACAGCGAATTTGGTGGCGAGTACTGGGAAAGCGATAGCCGGGTACCGAATACGGGTATGTCATCAGACCCGTCTGTTGTTATCTATAACAACAATCTCTACGTATTTCATCAGGGCCTCAGGTCTAACGGTCAGCTCTGGTATAATGTTCTAGTAGGTGGGGAAGATGAATAAGCCCTTAATAAAAGATTATAAGCATCATCAAGTTCCTCCTCTGTCTCCCTCATCTCCCACACCAACTCACGTCTCTTCTCAAACAACTGATCCAGGATTCCCATCAACCCCTGCCTATCATCATCGCAGTCCTCATCTTCAATCAGTAAGCGGTATATTTGAAGAATCATCACGTTCCACTCGATGAGCTGCTGAGTCCCTTCGTCGATCTTGGCGCGGTGCATTTCGATCGTGGCCGTGAAGCTGTCGCCGGCGTTAGAGACAGACTCGGAAGCTTGGATATCGACATCGAAATCGTCGTGGTCCTCAACCATCGGGGGCTCGCCGTACTTGGCCAGGAGCAGCTCTGCGCCTTTCTGGGAGAGGTCCTGCCCATCCCACTCGTCGAGGAGAAAGGCGCGAGACCATGGCGCGTACATGAGGCGGTAGCCTGTATTGTGCTTGTCATACGAGTCGAAGCAGATGCCAGCGGCTTGGAGTTCCTTGTGGCGCCGCTGCACCCACGATCTGACCTGCTACCATTAGTTTCACCGACTGTAGAGAAAAGCATGCTGTCGGCTACTTGCCTTGTGGGGGACGATGTTCTCAAACTCCGCCGAGTGGGAAGAACCGTCTTCCTGCTTCAGATACAGGGAGCGTTCGATCTTGGGCCAGCCCGTGGTGCTGAACCAACATGGCTGGGCATGTTCGCGGATCAGATGCTGGGTCGCTGCCTTTTTGCAGCCTGGGCAGAGCGTGAAGTTGACACCGGGGCGTCTGAACTTGTCGAGGGGTTGATTGCAAGCAGTCTGTTTGTACGCCTCAGCACTAAATTATCAACATAGGGGAGATTCCTACCTCGGCGTCGTTGGTGATTCCCATCGTTGCGTTTGGGTCCTGTGTAAACAAGGAAGTTGGTTTACACGAGAAGTGAGTATTACGTTTGGCCTTTGGCTGACGTCTAGCCTCTAACGCGACAGTGACCTAGTTGTATAACCTTGAGATATGTGTAACACAAATTTCATTCATCCACATCAGATGCATATCTTGGGCAAAAGAAACAACACTCTTCATGCTATTTCCAACTTTTTTCCTACAACATCTCCAAAATTCACTAATTCGCCTTTCAACCACCACAATGGACAACGGACAAGATTATAACGATCCCTTTACAGAAGTGACTAAAACAAGAAAGCAAGAAATAAAGCAGTATATGAACGACGGTAACATCACGTCTGGTAACGCCACGTCTAGCGAAGCCGGGACCGCCAGGGCTGGTAGTAGTTTACGAACCACACAGGTGAACTTGAGCGACCTGAGCGAAGACAGAAAGCACATTCTAGCAGCAAGGATGAAGCAGACAAGAGACGAGTGGGACCGGAGCGAGTTCTCTGCGAGTAAGTCTTCTTCAGCTACACAGAGATAGACATCGAGCTGACATAGATGTACTAGGTACCGTCGACGGAGGCTCCGTTACGCAGAGCCACAAGGCAAGCCAGGTAGGCTTCAGCAGCCTGACAAGCCGTCGTCAGAACCAGCGCGCCCCTGCAGTTCCAGCGTTGACTGCTCGAGGTCAGAGAGCGACGAGAAGCTTGGGCGGCGGTAGGTCTTCAACAAGCACGCGAGAAGGGAGAGAATAGACTAACATTGACACTCTAGGTTCCCTCGCCGGCGGCTTCGTTCCTGTGCTCAAGACACACACTGCGTCCGGTGCTTTGCCTGCCCCGAAGTCACACGCTACGACCGGTCCCTTTGTGTCTGCTACTACTGGCATTGGCGGTTCTGTACCTGGTCCAAAGGCTCCGACTGGTATCAGCTATTTCCCTCATGTCACCAAGGCTCCCACTGCTACCGGCGCTTTTATACCTGTCTCCAAGACGGCTGCTGCGAACAGTGCCTTTGTACCTGCTACTACTACCGGCATCGGCGGTTTCATGCCTAGTCCTAAGGCACCCACTGCTACTGGTGCCTTTGCGCCTGTCCCTACAGCACATACTGGCGTCAGCGGTTTTCCTCCTGCCCCTAGGGCACCTACTATGACCGGCGGTTTCGGATATATTCCCAGTGCCTTTGCCCCCAAAGCACCTACCACGACCGGTGGTTATGGACCAATTCCCAAGGCCCCTTCTGTCATCAGCGCAACGACAACGGTTCTTCGCGATCCGAGCGTCAGCCCAGGACAAACCACAACCGCCCCCTCCCTAAAGATCGTCAAAGACGCAGACGCATCGCAGCTCGGGACTGGCTCCTCGGAGCAGACTGAGGAGCAGTTCAAGGAGCTCATTGATGAGATGGCGGCTCTACAGCAGAGCATGTCTGTCAATGAGCAGAAGCAGCGGAAGGAGAAGGGCGAGGAGAGGAATTAGAAGGAAATATGGTGAAGATGGATAGTCAGGAAGGTGTCGTTTTCGCGAGCAGATGGACAAATGATGTGGTATTATGTACATGATGGAAGTTCTTGCTGTATATCCCCTAGATACCTCATGGGACATCAGTGAAGTCGTGAGGCGCTGATTGAGACTTGAGGCTATTCATTCTTGTATGGTAGAGCTTACGCACCGCTTCAGGTGCTGAGGGATCAAGATAAATAACCAACATACATTCAATTCCTTGAAAATACACAACTTTCAGCACCATTGAGCCAGTGAACTCCCAAACTGACCACCCACTGAATCTGAAGCATGCCTTTTTGCCGTTGTCTCTCCCCATCGACGTCCAAATCACCCCCTCCTCGCCCTCCTCTCCCTCCTCCTGTACCGTTTATACTTTGCAAAGTTTTCGGGAGTCAGGAGGTCCTCCACATCACCATCTGTCTGCAGAACATGGCTGCCATTTGGGGAACTTGGGAGAGGCTCAAATACATCAGAAGCAGCACCTAGCCAACTCTCATCCTCTTCCCCTTGTGAGCCGATATCACCTACGGGGTATGCACTGCTTCCCGCGCCCTCATGCTGGTTGCGACGCGAGTTCCCTGGCGGAGCGGCGAATGCACGTCGAGTTGGTGGCTGTGAGGTGTCGTAGAGCTCAAGTATTGTACCAACTTGATTACTTATATCAACTTGATCCTGGAACGCTGGGGGCCAGCTCCTCGCATATTCGTGGTGAGGTTGGACTTCGGGGAGCTCGTGAGGTATGGGTTCGCTTTTTTGAGCTATATCTGATTCTGCATCTTGTCATGGATTTGTTTCGTCCGGCATGCTAACTGCAGGAGCAGATATCGGCGATGACTAAGTAAGATGTTAGAATGGGAATATCCGCAAGCCGACTGACTTACAGGGCGTGGTCGGTGAGCCATGGTGTTGACTTTCTCCTCGACAGCGGGATGTTCCTCATGAGTGCGCTGTTCACCATGTCAGCCACAACCAAGTCATTAAAAAGCATAGGAGCATACCTCTTGATTGTCCGCCATATTTAACTAATGTGGTGCCCTGGGAGGAGACGTCTAAGATGAAGCCGAACAGCAGTTACTTAGGCTATCAAGTCCATCCTCTCTACCCACCGTCCCCCACCCTACTCGCACGTTTCACGAGCAAAGAACGGTCGGAGCTTGGGAACACGAGCCAGATCTGCAGGTCTGATAGGACCTTTTGTGGGGTTTCTCCCTCTGGGTTGTGGTACCGCCGGATCTGCCCTGCACAAAGCCGCATGTCACCAACCACCATGTTGTTGTCGACTTTCAAGGTAAGTCAAGTGAGCCGAGATGAACAATGTTTCTACGGCTGAGGTATCGCCATATGTGTAGTATATGTCCCCTATAGAGGGTATCAAGAAACAGGAGAATCGCTGACACCAATCCGCCGATCTGCCGCCAAATAGATTTCCGTTTTCTTTCCCGCAACCCCGAAGCTCATGTTTGTATCCTTCACCGCTTTCTCAGTCCTCACAGTGTGATGCCGTGTCATCAGTATTATAGTCTGCTTGCCTGTACACTTGCTACCGGCCACGGTCTAGCGGGAGAAAAAGTACGGCGGATCATAAATCACTAAACCTAGATCCTCTTTCGCGAAAGCCAGACTGGGGCGAGTATCGAAATCGGGTTAGGGCCAAAATTGAGCGGAAATGGAGAGTATCGATATCTTCTCCTTTTGGCGTGATATAGCCAGACAAGTCGTTGTGCCAGCTCACATTTGAGTGTGTTTTGATGTAGATTTTATGGGCAATACTGCAGTCGGCCTCGCCAGGCTCTGAGAAGACTTGGTTTTGAAGCCTGCATGAATTGTAGTCTCCTACTATCAGCGAGATATCACGGAGCGCCGACGTAGTCAATGATCCCAACGATCTCAGCAATGCCGCGAGACGCTACAAGTACCGCTTGTTCGTAGAGGATGCCGCCGAGTCAAAAGCCATTGATAATATGATCCCAGAGACCTTTGGGACCAGGATCTGTGAGCTGAAGACCGAGATCGAGGATCCGAGGGAAGGGCTGAGAGAGTAGCATGATGTAACTGATATCCGAGGAACAAACTGCAGTTCACAGGCTGAGAAGGCACCTAATGTGTAGTGTACCCCCGAGGCATAGCAGATGTTTACTGTTGCGCGTTAACTGTGGATACAAAAGTCTTGAGTGAAGCGTCCTGCGCAAGCGAGCCAATCGAGGCAGCTTGTAGCTTCACGAAGGAGATTCAGCCGCATCATATCCAAGGTACATCCACCACGGCACAGTTCACTCCGCGAATTGGCCTTGTATACCTGCCAGAAGGGAATAGTAGCAAACAAATGATAAAGCATTTGGTAAGAAGCTGGTTTACTACCAAATATTCGTTGACCTGGACTCTACCGCTTGGTCTGGGGGTAAGACCTTCTGCATGGATGACCAGTCCCATGAACGCAGCGTTGTACTACCATCAGTCCCCGCGTCAATCTTCCCACGAGATCATGGCATATGATTGATTCACTATTACCTTGCTTGCTTTGAGCACCGGACTCTATCTATCGATACTTTAAGACAGGCACTCTGAGGGCGAATCTCCTCAAAATTGTGGCTACAACAACCAATATAAATATTGCCCATATGCAAGCGCAGGCCGAAGATTCCTTGCAGTCCGGCCAAAAATGTCCAGTACAGCAACGAGCTTGGCAACAAGTCTGGCTTCTCAAAGGTGTCCAAGATCAACCTCACCGTGCAAAGAAGATAGAGCCAAGCTTTACACGCCATCAAGTCATGCAGTCGGCAGTTTGTTCAGCATCGCGGAGACATCCTCGAAGAAGCGCGCGTGCACAAATTTACGGGTCGACACCGCGCTATCTTACACGGCAGCTGAGAGGCAGATCATGCCTCGGCGGAGTATACTGGACTATTCCTTTTAATTATCTCGTTTTCGTATATCTGGGAATTAAATAGAGGATTGCCTTTTGTAAAATAGCTGTATTGGTACAGGCGTCTCTCTAAATACCCTATTCACGCCATGCGAAAGACGATTTTTTGTGAGAATGTTACGTTAGTACGGCGCTACAGCCGGCCGGACCGGGCCGGCTCACGCGCTTCCACGCCGCGGTCGCGCTACTGCGAAGGCACTGGCACAATATTGTTTTCGCCAATTCAACTGAAGCTTGCAGTGGAACTAATTCTTCATCCCCTATTGCCTGGTGAGAACTTGGTGATTCGATTTGCCTCTGTTTCCATAAAGGAATCTTCATTCCACAGCTTGGCTGACGACGCACGCGATTGCCATGATGCGTGGCGTGCGGATATCAGTGTCGACACCTCGAGGGAGCGCAACAATGCTGCCCTAGAACCGACATCTTCAATCACCTCCGATGTTCAAGCCGCGCCCTGCCTGTCGCGCGAGGGGGAGCGCCACAGAACACCTAGCTGAACGAGAAGGAAGCGATCAACGATACTACCAGCAGCGCGTTATTACGACATCCTTCCTTTGACCCGCCCCCAAACATTGACGATGCGATCCTCCAGCTACGATATGCATGGTTCTGACAATAACCACTGGCCAACTTCCCACGAGCGACCGAAGAAATAAGAGGAGCAGTAGCAGGCGCAGCGAGAGGAAGAGGAGAGGCTATAAGATGAGGAAGTCGAGCGAGAAGAAGCCTAAGAAGCTCCCCGCCAACGCGAACAAGAAGACCGCAAAGAACGTGCGCATCGGGATCTCAATTTACACCTTATGTATCTCAACGACCTCACAAACGGTCCGAACGAGTGGTTCCACCGCCATATAATATATAGAAGCTGCGCCCTGTGCGGTCTTCTTTCTATGCCTCCTCTTGGGGCTTGTTCAGGTAATTTGAGGGAGGGAATATAGGAACTGCTCTTGACAGCTTCCGGGCCATACTGCCGCTGGCCTTGTTGATCGAATTGTAGCCTGATCAGTCGCGCGTTCGGCTCCGGATAGAAGAGGAGAAATGCTTCAGAGCTTGTGACATGCTGAGAGTAACCTCGGGCTATGTCCTTGTACTCGTTCAAGAGCATCGAGAGGTATTACCTCGTTGGAAGGAGCGGATCTCGAGCTACCGTGAATGGCTCTTCATGTCGGTTGTTATCCTTAATAGAAGATCTAGCTAGCATGGACTGTTTCATCGACCCTTGAAGTTGGAGGAAGAACCCCCGTGTGTTTAGCTAGGTAAGTATTGGCATTATCCTCCAAGACGCGCCAGGATAGGGTATACTTCGAATCGCTCACCCAATGGCTCTCCGTCGAACAGTAAGTTGGTTCAACAATTTACCAAGCACGAATCTTGCACGGCTGTCGGGAAAAGTGAAGTTTAAGTCTCCGCAAGAGGAGGTCGAGGACTATGGTAGGGGTAGAGTCACGGTCACAAGAAGCTGGACGAGTAGACCGCCCGACGAGGCCAGGGATGTTCAAGCCCAAGACTGAGCCTCATCGCCCGCCATTTGAGTCAACCTTGTTCTCCTTGTCAGATATAGAGGGAGCTCGTCGACAGGCTGATCTTCTGAGCCTCCTTTGCCGAGTTGCTTAAGTATAAACCCTAAGAGGAGCCTGCTTTTCTTTGGATAGCCATTATTCATTGCATCAAAACTCATTTTTAATGTGTCCAGAGTGATCCTCGGTCGAACTTGTAGCATATGGTGCTATTCGTCCTCTTTCAGATACGCCCTACAAGAATCAAGATACAGACAGGCTTACGTCAGGGTTGCCGTCCATTGCAATCAACGTCAATACAGGTAATAGTAGCATGACTTCCCATCTCGGTCTTCTCAGTTATATATCATCAATTGGGGGAATAGCGCCAGTAGTCTATAGCGATACCTGCAATAGGGTGAAAAGAACTATGATGAGATGTTGTTTGCGGTTGAGACTTGTACCTGGGAGCTTAAATCACGACAGAGGACTTTGGACTTTGAAGTAAGACCTGAGAGATACTGATGCCGTAGTAATTGCTGTGATCGTGAGACATGTATCCTTTGGAAAACGGTGACCCCTACCGAAAAAACAGATTGGCGAGCAGACTCCATCTCAGATCGGACCATTCACCAAGCTTAGATTGTGTTTTGATTTCCCAAACTGGCAATTATTGACCTCGCTACGGAGTAACGTTACAGAGCTTACACGGTGTGGCACTACGCTGATGCCCCTCTATGATCAAGAGCGTCTCTAACGGTATGCCTGGAGACTGAATGGTGAGCGAACCAGTGCTATATTTAAGTCTTCTTTATTTATTTGATATCGCGAGGATTAAACTTAGTCATATCCAAAGCATTTACTAAAATCTCTTCCTGAATTCCTGTTATATCATCTCGTGTTAGTAGATGTCATGAACTTCAATTGAGGCACTGACATTCGAGGTCGTTATTCTTGATCTATCTTGGATGACAAACCGGGAATAAGTCCAATCGATAGAGTCTTACAGGGCCTGTGTTGGTTAGGCCGTTTCTAGATGGCCATTGTTTGAAGTTACTGACTCGGTTGATGCCGCCCCAATGGACGGAAGTGGATAGCGTCATTGAAGTGTACATCTTGTTGCCAATTGCTGCTCAATGTCAGCCGCGCAGTATCTCGGAGAAGCCGAGTATACAGTTGAGCATGAGAAATTGGCAATTGGTCACATAATAGACGGTATCCCCGCCCTTATGAACAACCTTAAGATTCTTGCATGAACACTGAAAGATAATCGAGAACACCACATCAGCTCCGAGGATTTCGACAAGATGCCCTTCTCCATTACCGAGAACGAGTGCCATTTTCGGTCCCTCCTTAAGTTGCTTCTTATTTCCACGAAAACTCCGGGGTTCTGACGGCCTGAACGAGATGACGAAACTCGTTTTGCGCGGTGTCATGTTTGTCTCAATTTCAGCTCGTGTCCCATCCGCGCTTGTCGGACGTTCCCATTTTCGAACCCATGACAATCGCCTTGCATCGTCCGCTGAGGACCGGAATGCACCACAACTACTCGAAAACGGGTTGCTGGATGACATTGGGAGTGTCATCTCAGTCT